TGGGGAAAAATACCTTTTTGGCGCCCCTCCCAAAAAACACTTACAGTAATATATTGTATAAAATATATTCGTAATACGAAAATAATGCAAATAGTAATAAAATGCTGAATCTGCCATAAAAATACTCTAAAACAGGTTAAGAATTGTCACTACCTAACTACATTAGCACTGGATTCGGAAATGTATCTGTGTCGTCTGAAAAATCAAACATACGATGATCTGGAATTAATTAAAAGGTTAAATTATTTATTTTACATATCTATATAATTGTTTTTTAAAAAGTACAATTTTTTAACAATTAAAAGTTAATATATTACAGATAAGTAGATATATTTATTAATAATAATATAATATTACAATACATTAATACAATTAATTACTATTTATACATTTTTCTTGCCTTAGATGAAAGAAATTTATCAATTACTTCATCAAAGTCGATCATTTCAAATTTTTTCTCTTTTCACATTTAAATATTTTCACCTTTAAATAAATTTCACATTCACTAGATGACTTAGGGGATCTTGTCCCACCGTTGATTGAAAATAGTCAAAATTTATTTTAATTTGCTGTGCGAACGTACGCATTTGATAATGAAATAGTAAGGAGTATTTGAAGTGCGACTCTTAGGTTTGGAAAAACATTTTCTCCATTGATCTGTAATGGAGTTTTACGTTCAATTTCTTTTTTACTGCGGAGTAATATCTTGCAGTCACATTCACTGTTCAAAACAATTAGGGGATATTGTGAGTTCGGTATGAAATAACCATATAATCGACAACCATTTTAACAAAAAGAAATAGAAGAGGTTATAAAGGAAAATTATAACCTTTACAAAATATGCAAATTTAGTCTGTTACTTTGAAAACTATGATAAGGAGTAAGGAGCGACCTGTAGCATTCCTTTGTAGTAGGAGATTAAAAACAATCGACACGCGTTGAATGCTTGTAGCAGTGAATATACGATGTCTCAGCAAGATGACTTAATTGAATCGGTATTCAGGAAGGCCATCAGTCGTTTACAGGAGAGTCAAACGAAATCCATTGTAGCGGAAGTGTTAGGAGTTTCCAAAAATGTCATTTCCAGACTATAGAATCGTTTTTGGAAACTGGATATGTTTGAGAAATTCGGGGCAAGGTCGTGTTATCATTTTAAAATAAAAAGCGGGAGCTATATGCGCATTTCGTTAAAAAAAAAATAAAAATAAAAATAAAAATAAAAAAATAATAATAATAAAAAAATAAAAATAGATCTCTATTTTAGAAAAATAAAGTGGCCAGAAAGAACGTTTTGTATGCGGAGATATTTGGTTGACGTACTGCAAACATTTTATTACACATTTTATCAAACAAACCAAGAAAATAAATAATTAATTACATTACAATAATTATGAATTTTAAATATATTTTCTAGAAATCGATCGAAATAAAAACTGAAATTTTCCGGAAAATCTTGTTTGGAGACCATTTGGCGCCCCTCTGCAAGCGGAGGCCGGGGCATGATACACCCCCTTGTCCCCCCGTCGCTACGCCACTGAGTGTTTCAATAGTTTTAGCACAGCTTACGACTGGCAGGGGTTATGCATTCACTCTATTTTGAGTTTATTTAACTTCCTTAGAATATCGTCAATTTCATTGAGCCACATGTGTAGTTTCACTTTTATTTTTTGTTCATTACTTCTATCTTTAAAATATATTGAAATCACATTCTCTATATTGATTATATATGCTGTATGAAAATGAATAGTAAGGTAAAATAATGCATAATACAAATTACTGAACATAATAGAAACAATTCTGGAAGAGCTGGTTATGTGGAAGGATATCAAATATTGCATTTTTAATAGATAATAGAAGCATATTTCCATTGTTGTTATATGAGAATTTTAATCTGAAATAATATTTTTACAAACATGCACATAAATGTCTCTCATATTTATGTTTTCAGAGCAGAAAACGTTGTAGGATAGCAAACACCCAGAAATAAGTTCGCGCCATCTTGCGTCAGAGACTGCTTTTCTTCGCCTGTCGCTGTAACATCGTTTTGCTGCCGCTCTGTCTTTCTTTGTTTGAATAGTATGACGCAGTAAATTTAATGTTAATCCTATTTAGTTCTAAATTATTATCGCTTATGCAATTTTGAATGATCTGTCATTCACATGGAATAAAGAGATGGAGCTAAAAAGTTAAATTCTTCTGCGTCGTCATGGGATTACACTCAGCCACAACAATGTCCGGAATTCTGATGTGGCCAGATTGCCAAACTTCACTCATGTGCCCGACTGCCACAATATTACATACGTATATATATAAAATCCAAAAGTAATTGCCGGTACTTTTCCGTTTCACCGGCGCAAATCTTACCAAGCAGACTTTATAGGCGACATCATACAGTATGCACATAAAAATGTTAACAAATGTTAGTTCTAAGAATTTTTTATTTTGAAGGCATAAACATTTTAATAGCGTTTAAAATTTGTCAAAAGCCAATAAATAAAGACAATAATTTTGTAAAAAGACATTAATTTAAGAATTTACTATGCTTTCATGGTTCAACATTCTGAGTCGCCGGTTCGTATCACGTGACTACAAGTGATCCCATCCAACGTAAACTACGCTACAAAAATCTAATTCAGTCAGTAATTACTTACATTAATTTCAAGTTAAATCTTAGTTTGAATACAAGTTTAAATGCAAGAATTACTTCAATTCGTATGAATAGCTTACTCTGAAATTATGTAAAACCGCAGTGCTTTACTTAGTGCATTCTCAATTAGAATGGATGAATTTAATCCTTGACTTTGCCTTTTCTATGTTTTCGCCTTCGGGTAAGCGGTGTGATTGCATCCTAATTTACTTAATTACCACGAATGGGCATAAAAGCTCTTAGGGCATAAAAGTGGAACTATCTGGTAAACATTCCATGTAATTGTATGCCAGTATTGACAGAAACAATCAATCTGATAAGAAATGGCTGCGACTGGTTTTGAAAATGAGGCGTAAAAGGTTACCAGCGAGGATATACCGTTTAGCATCAGTTGTACCATTATTGGCGATTTTATGGTTTGTGCCGCAAAACGGATTGGTGGATTATTCAGTTATGGCAAAGCACACGAGGGCTATCTGCCTAAAAGGAGGGATGCCTTCGTGGAGGACTTTCTAAGGGAAACTGGCTCGTATACACGTTACACATGGGGAAAACCACGAAAACGCCCATGCAGCCAGCCCGTTCGCGGGATTCGAACCCTCAGACCGAACTACCAGTGTTCAGCGTCTTTACCGCTCGGCCGCTGGTGGGCGCCGGCAAAACGGAAAAGTACCTAATTGCCTACTTTTTTTATCATAAATGTACTTTACTTGAATTTTAATATTAATTTGGCTAGATAACAGAATAAAATTAGCATTAATTTACCAAACAAAAATAAATGCTTCTTAATTCCCTTTTTCCCATATATTTGCCTTCTCCCTAGCTACTATTCCTTACACGATATTTATTTCCGTTGGCATAACAAAATATCATTTAGAGCCAAATGGTCGCCAGCAAGTGTGTTCTCCGAATATTACCCCACATCTGAATAAACCCTTACGCCACGAAATGAATGTTTAGGTTTCTAATAAAATGGCTCTTTAAAGCGTTATCGTTAGAGCTTGAAAACTGAATGCGAATCGCTAAGTTAACACGCCAGTTAAATACTTGTTAAAGGCTTGTTAAAGCTCACGCTTATCTGTTTTTCGAACACTGAAAATGCAAAACATAGAATTTTAAAGTTTCCCTGTCTCAGTATTCAGTAAATTCCCATAAAATACTTAGAAATAAATTTTTCATACTTTTTTTTGGAAGAAGAGTTCCATAAAATATGTAAACAAAATGCTCAACTGAACGAGTTGCATAAAATATGTAAACAAAATGCTTTCATTGAGACTCAAAATGCATTCATTTAAAATGCTTTAATTAGCAAAGATTATTTCTAAATGTCGTTGAACCTCTCTGTTTTAAAAAAGAACTTTCGCGTTATAAATCTGGCAACAGGATTGTTGCGTTTATATTCGCCATTTTGTAATCTAAGTTAAAAGGGGGATCGCTACCTTACAGACGGAGGGTATTGGGGTACCCGAAAGATGTATCCCGTAGGCCAACGTAAGTAATTTGAAAATTTGTTATTATTTTCATTTTGAAAATTTACATACACGTAATTTTTACGAAAAGAAATATCTTAAGTCAGTTTTAATGTTTTTATTGTGAATCATACGTGCATCCACCTTTTTAAATGTACACATTGGCGAAATGTATTACAAAAACTGTGATGCAAAAAATTTAAATATTAATCGAACAACTAACCGTAATATTAAATTAGATACATTCGAAGTTTTGTATTAGTATGTTATCTAAACATTTAATGCTATATAAAGGTTATACTTGTAAATGATACCAATTTCCCTCCTTCCCATGCGGGTGTTTGGGGTTGTTGATCTATAAATAAAACGCTTGCATGCACATATAAAACTTCTTTTACTGCTATTTTATTATTATTTAGAAAATCGCGAGTCAAGGTAATGTGAAGTAAATATATTTTAGAAGAAAAAGTGTTAGATTAATAAAATTTCACTTACTGTCGTATTTCATTGGAAGCTGTTACTTAATGGGATTGACATTGTATTCATTCGAACTGAAATCTTGTTTCAGTTGATGATTTTTGGTGGGACTTTTGTGAATTTAATATAGACAAAATTTTTACCTTAATCTAATATTATTTTTTAGTAATTTAACTTTTGCGATAAATTGGGAAACAAATGTTTTGCTGAATATTATTTATTACTGTAGTTAGTATTATATAATGCTTTATGAAGTTGTATTGGGGAAATTGTCTTTTATTTTGCCTTGTATGTCATTAGTATTCTTCTGCTATGTGAAATTTGTGTTATATTTTTTTTTTTATCAGTTTAGCTATTAGAACTAATATATATATATATATATATATATATTAAGGCCGTAATATTACAAATAGTACTTATTGATAAATATCAGTTTAAAGTATTTAATATTAATTAGCCATCTGTATCTTTATTAATTATTTTTTTTATTTTGTACAGCACCTGGGCCAGTGGGGCCTCCTCCTCGAGGCCCCCCGCAGAGTATGCCTACACAGTCTACTGCTCCTCCAATGCAACCACCAGGTCCATCTGGTTTACCAATGCAACCTGGTGGTGTACAGCCTCAAGAACTACCAGTTTTTATATGTCCTCGAAGGCCAAATGTTGGGACTGAAGGGCGACCCATTATGCTAAGGGCAAATCATTTTGAAATTCGAATGCCAAGAGGATATTTACATCATTATGATGTTACTATAACACCCGACAAATGCCCTAGAAAAGTGAATAGGTATGTTTTGTTTTTGATACATGTATAATTTAAGGCATATGTGTATACATATGTGTTTTCACTCTGTGATATTGGCATTAATTATTAGTTTTATTAAACACACTTTTTAAAAATGTTTTCAAAAACGTATTTTTGATTCATCTGTTTCCAGAGTATGAAGTATTTTTTAGAATGCTATTGATGTTAAAGCATTTTAGAATATTGCATTGTTTGTTTTTAGTAAATTTCGTTTTTATGTTTGATCAGATATGGAATACAGTCATTTAATTAATTATTAAATCTTAACAGTACACTTTTTGTTGCAACATTTAAACATTAACCATAATTAATAATTGTAATGCACTAGACATACAAAAATATGCATTTGTACATTAACTGTTGCTAAGAACTTTTGTTAGCAGCAAGGTTTACTCTTATATGCGCCCTCAAGTCGCCAAATATTTTTGGCGAGAAACTCCACAGTGCCATATTACTATTTAAATTTTTTGTCTGTGTTTCAAACTTTAAGCCTAAAATTTTTCCAAAAATGCGGTTTTCGCACATGCAAAAACCACGTTTTGAACACGCAATTTAAGCTAAAAATCCGAAAGAAAATTAACAAATTTAGGTAGCAAAAATGTGAAGTTTCTAACCAAAAATATTTGACAAGAATCCATGTACACAGTGATATGTTTTAACGTAACAAAAATCTACGAATTGCACAATCTAGGCAGTGAAAGAATCTACAAACTACGCACACCTCGCTTTAATAAATTAACATAACAATAAATTTCAAAGAATACCATGTACACAGCGTTCTGTTTCAACTTTAAAAACCATCTACGAATTGCGCAATCTAGGCACTACGCACTAATCAACAAAATAAACTAAAATAACTAATATAAATTTCAGACAATTAAAAAAAATAACAATAACGACAAATTCATACTAAAAAAAACAATGAACATAACATTCTACAAAATAAAAAGCAAGAATAAAATAAAATGCACATACCATGAAGGAATGCTTTTTCAAACAGCAGAAATACCAATTTCATGTCCGCCATGTAATCCCTAATATATTTATATGACACACTATCCAGAAAATTCATACTATGGTTCTCAAATAAATGTTCAAAACCTTTTTCTAAATCCTTGTAAAATTTCCAGACATCCGAAAAAATAGTTGTTAAAAGTTCAATCCACTCTTTAATACACTGCATCAGCATTTCTTTATTTCTATCATGCACAGCCACTAAAAATAAAGGCCTTAGTGTAGAATTGGGTGCCCCTCCGATCGGCGACATTTTAAAAAAAAATTTTGGCAATGAAACCTCACTTCACTATTACCACGATAGTTTTAACTTTGTTATAGCTTCCCGATTTTATTTAAATGAAAATAGATTGATGTGTACATGGACATATTTAAGGCAGTGCGCAATGCCTAGTTTGTGCAATTCTAGGATGTTTTTAAGTAAAAACAGATCGATGTGTACATGGACACAGATCTTATGCAATTCTTTGAGTTCTTATTTTGTTTTTGTGTACCGGCCATCTTGAAATTGTGACTTCCTGACGCCGATCTTGGCGTCAAAAAAGAATCGCCAATACACGAGGGGCACCCAATTGTAAACTTTTACCAAAATAAATCTCCCAGACCCTCTTGCAACCACCTCTCTCATTGCAATATGGGCCATTTCAAAACACACATGACACGAACCAACGAGCAATTAAAACACTCCAACAAAAGAGTCTTCAACATCCAAAGGGTTGCTGTACAACAGGCAATTGTGCCAAAACCCAGCGCAGAACACACATCGTCACATTTGGCAAGCAAATATGTTGTTAAATTATGTTCATTTTGTAGAGCAAAATATTTTTCTTCCTGTTGAAATAGTCTTGTTTTTATTAGCTACTTTTGAAATTCAAGTAATTAAAAATAAAAACTGCGAGCCATCAGCATAATTGCATAACTACAATAGTTTGCATACTTGATGTGCAAGATTAGTTCTTGTACATAGAATGATTATTATAATTACATAATTTTTATATTTACAAAACAAGTGTGGAATTTACTAGTATTAAGTTTTTTGAGCGAAAATTGGTTCTTGGTTTGAAGCTGTCATTTATTTGACTGAATATATTGAGGATATTGTTGCTATTCGCAAAGGGTGTAAAGATGACAGCTTGGGTGTTGGTTTCTTGGACAAATATTTTGAAAATGGGATTCTGTCTTGCAAAATGTTTTTGAATTTTGTCCAATAAGTAATGTTTAGAAAATAAAACTCTGTCTTATAAAATACTAGCTAAAATGGCTGCTATTTTTGAGTATCCAAAAAAAAATGAAATTCATTCGGACTAGTCAAACTGTGCATTCACTCGCACTATGTGGATCAATTACGTGATGTAAAGCACTGAAGAGTTATTTTAGAGAAAAGACAGAATGTAATATTTGCATTCGACAGCAGAATTTAGGGGCCAGTAAATTTTTAAAATTGACAGACTGGATGATAAAATTAGGAGTCTGAGATTACACAAGTTGTCAAAAAGCTTAGCTCCAACCTTGATCATTGTAACTACTCTATTGTATCAGTGAACTGTTATTGAGCAACAAACACTTGATATAGATTTTTGGTGAATAAAAAATGTTATGCAGATTTACGACTAAGTTGCTGTAGTCCCTTCATAATTCATTGCTAAATGTATATCAGTTTTTTTTTTCCCAAAACATTGACAGTGAAAAAAGTAACTTTTTATTCTGTTTATAAATCTATATTTATCAACATAAAGATGCATTGCTTTAATGTTAATTACAATCCTTATTTATCTAAGAACAGTTGAGTGGATGAGATCATTGAACACCGGAAGCTTGACGATGCTTACTTGCTTACTTGTTACCTCAGTCAGTTACCAAAAGAGACAACATCAGAATTTATTAAATTTAATTACCAGAAACATGTTTGATTTTCAAATTATTTAGGTTACGAAGTTTACTATGTGATATCATTGAGTTATTGTTGTTTCCCATTTAAATTGTTTATTATTTCACTTATAGATGTTCCAAAAGGAAACAGTAAATTTTTCATGATATTTGTAATGTGCGATTTATTGGTTTTCACATTCATTTTAGACTATTGTTTTTTTTCCTTTTCCCTAAGATGTTGACCATTTTAAATTTTACATCAAGTGGAATAAAAACAGTAGTTTCTTCATCATATGATTCATTCTTTCTTTATTTTTTAATCCTCAAAAACCTTAACCATATTTAATTTGCCATCAAAGGAGAAAGAAACTGTTGTTTGTTACCCAAAGACTATGTAATTTTGCATACTGAGGAAAGATATACAAATGGTTACCATATTTTATTTGGGAAGAAAGTATTTCAAGATGGAATGTGAAAAGCTGCAGGGGGCAGAAGTCTTCATGCTGATAATTGGTTTCATGGCTTTAGGATTTCTTTTTGTATTATTTTGTGCTTCGTTTACTATTGGGTTGAAAGACTTATACAGTCAAAAGTCGTTAATCCAATCGGGACTTCGGCGATTCCGGATTATCGATTTTTCCGGATTATAGATCATCAGTTAAACGCGTAAGATGGGCTGCAGAAATTCAAATTAAAAAATTGAAACCGTATTATGAAAAAAAAGAACAATTATGATCTAAAGGTATCAAATTTAAAAAATAATATAAAAAACTTTAATATTATTGTTACTTATTAAACATTTCTTTCGTGTAAGTTGTTTTTTTATGTGATAATACTTTCCTTTAATTCTATAAACAGACAATTTTATTGCTGTGCCGAGAACTACCGGACTTGTCAATCGAAATTTGAATGATTGTCAATTGAAATTTATCCATTTTTGCGCAATTCCACTTTTTGTTTGATGGACATCGAAACTACTTTCGTTTGTACGATCCTTGGGAGCTCAGAATCAAAAATTCTATTTGACATAAGGAAAGTTCAAAGTTTACTTTTTAGTATTGCTTTACAGTCTGCAAAAAAAAAATAAGCCGGATCCAATTCGAAAATCAAGGAACAACGCAAATAACTGAAATGATTAGATAATTTTAGCTTACACTGTCCGTTATACAAAAAACGGGCACGTGAAAACGTATTCTGCGCGCCGCACACGCAAATGCGCAGTGTAAGAGGTCTTACGCGGACGCGTAACGCCTATGCGCATGTGTCAACGCGGAGCATGCGCAGAAAGTTTTTAGCTTTGAGGTCCGGATTATAGATCATTCCGAATTATGGGTGTCCGAATTAACGACTTTTGACTGTAATGCATAATAGTGCAGTTGACAGTTAAATTATGTTTGGAAACACAACTGATTGAAGCAACTGTATGAGAAAAGTTTATCGCTAAACACTCAAAAGGTATAAAATTGCTGGACTGAAAAAAATTTTGAGATTGATGAAAATCTGTTTGTTAAGTGAAAAGATGCATAGCTTATGATAAATTCTCTTCAGATACTTCTTAATATTCCTCTTTAATTTTCTGTTACAACTGCTAATTTTTTGTTAGCCTATTTTATTGTTTGTGTTATTTGTTTTAGTACAATATATCATTGAATTTACAGCTTTTTTAACTTTTGGAGTAAAATTTTATATATCAGATATGATTATTGTTCCAGGTAAGATATTCCATTGAATTACATCCAACAAAGTTTGTTCTCAACCACTTCCTTGTTCCGCTTCCTTATTCCGTACCACCAAATACCCAGTTTAATAACAGCCATTTTATGGTTTTGCATTAAGCACAAAATAAGCAACATACTTCCTAACCGACATCCAACGCAAAAATAAGCCCTGAGAAGCATTCTCCTAATAATAAAAATCAGTGCCATCATGCATCACAACCAGTCACGTCATGATAAGGTTTCCAAAACGTGAATCATTAAATACTCAGATTACCGCAATTGAAACAACAACTTGGCGATAATCCAAGGGGTACCCCAAAATATAGACTATTCAAACTTTCATTTTTAACTTTCGTGTGTTTTTATTAATTATTAAGTAGTAGTTTTCTGATATTTTTATATATGATGTTAATATGTATACTTTTTCCCTTTACAGGGAGATTATTGAAACTATGGTACAGTCTTATTCAAAAATATTTTCTAACTTGAAACCTGTGTTTGACGGCCGAAAAAATATGTACACAAGAGATGACATTCCAATTGGGAATGATAAAGTAATTAGTATTTAAAATATTAGTGAATGTATGTTTTTATTTTCAAAATGTCTTGAACTATATGCTAGTTAACATATCATTGAAATACCCAATTGAATATATATATATATATATTTTAAGATGGAACTAGAAGTAACGTTACCTGGTGAAGGAAAGGACCGTGTTTTTAGGGTTGCTATAAAGTGGTTAGCAAAAGTTAGTTTATATGCTCTGGAAGAAGCTCTTGAAGGAAGGTCACGTACAATACCATTAGATGTAATACAGGCTTTGGATGTGGTCATGAGGCATCTCCCAAGCATGACGTAAGTAACTGTTTCTTTGAAAAGAAATTGTACACATGTTACAGAGGTTTAACAGCGATGGCTATATTACTTTTTTAAGTGAATTCAAAGTACTTCAATGATTAAAGTAATTGCTTTTAGCACTAAAATGCTTTATTATGTATATTCAGTTAGAGCAGGTATGCTCAGATAAATTTGTGAGTTCCATGCACCTCTTTGGCTCATTAAATATGCCTTGCATTGTAATGAACAGTACTTTATTTATGCAGTATAATCAGTGAATTGAAGCATTGATTGCTGTAATGTATCGCATGCTTTTATTAGTCAGTAATTTTAACCTTTTAAGTTATATAATATTTTCAAAATATGCAGCTTGTGCTAATTTTCAAAAAGTCTATTTTCTTTCTGTGACTTAATGCATGGTGCTACTTTTAAGTAGGACCAGCAAAAGGAGTAGAATGAAGGGCAAATACATTGAGAATACATAGCAAACAGTGGATTATGTTTGTAATTTTTGTTATGTAAAACAAAATCTGATAATCTAGACTTAGTTAAGACTATAAATTAGTGTAATCTTTGTATTTTGGTCCTGTTACGGAAACTAAATATGGTTTTTTTATTTCCGAACCTTGGTAAAAGTTTAGAATAAATTTAGCTTCTCAACTGCAATTTTATCTCCAGTTTATTCTGTTACAGTGGACTTATGTGCATTTTTTCTAAAAAGGTATGTAGGAATTTAAGATTAACTGCAAATTGCTGGCTTAATTTTTCTGATTACTATGTTCATATACCAGTGTGCTTTCTTTCAATTTACTCTGAGTTACGTTTAGCAAGAAAAAAGAAAAAAACAGTTTCCTGCTTCTGATGGAAAAAAATATTGTAAATAAAAAAACAAAAAAGCTTAGTTTTGTATCAGGGATGGGTAGGGGGCTCATTACATTGTAGAAAAGTTTAAAGTTTATGTATCGTAAGTATACTTCTTAAATATAGAATACAGCCAATAATTTTTTTAGTAAATAAATATGCACAGTACTAATTCATGTACTCAAGGTATTTTTGGAGGTTCACAAACTATTTTGCTGTGACATCGTCAACTATTTTCTATTGACCATCTTAAAATTCTCGGGAAAGTTATTTTCTAAACACCACTTAAGAATTCTTGGGAAAACTGAAAATGATCTGTAATCACATGTTGTTGTCAAGTTGTTGCCTTTCATGGTGGTTCGAAGGAGAACATTGCTTAGTTCCTGAGAAAAACTAGAATGAGGGACTCCTTTGTTTAAAATTCCCACACATCTGTTTATGTGTGTATTGTTAGGCATTGACTGCCTATCATCAAATACCTAGATCCAGGTGACTGGCAGATTGCATTCTAAGTTGGACCCTGAGAATTATCATGGAAATTTTTCCAAGCCTGTCAACATTATACCTGCAAAAACCAGTTGCTCTTGGGAATTGAGAGACGCTCTGCAAATTTCGGGCACATGTGAATTCAGGAATTCTTCCTTATATGCCCAGAAAATCTTGAACAAAAACAGGGAACTAACCTCCAGAAAAGGGAGTTAGTGTTAGTGAAAAAAAGAGAGAAAACCTTCTCTCATGTTTTTAACTCTGTCAGTATCAAAAAAGTATTTTTTCCTGTTTGTTCTGTCTAGAGCATTCTTATCTCCCTGCTGCAGAGAGATTCAGTAACCGGTAGCTGGATATTCTGCTACCTGATTTCAGAACAACCAGCTGTGACCAGCAGGGCTGTGGAGTCAGGTAGATTTTTGGGTAAAAGGAGTCTGAGTTGGAGTCTCTAAAAAACACATCGACTCAGACTCCAGTTTTGTAGGACAATTTGAATTCCAAATGAAATTAAAGTGAATTGAAAAAAATTAATGACAAACTGAGTTAATATTCTTATTTATGAACTATATACATTAATACATAGTTATTTTCTGTTTTATTGACGTATTAGTAAATAAATATAAGGGAGCAGGATGGATGTGATATTTGCCATTATTGATTAAACTAATTCATTTAGTTACTAATCTCATTGGTGAATTGAGGTAAGCAGCAAGAACTCCCAAAATTGATGCCATTCTTAGGAAGCGAGCAGGAAAAGGAGCAACACAGTGGAGAAGTACATATTTGATGATATAGTTGTTGTTAGGATTAAGAACTTTTTCAGAAGATGTAAATAACTCTAATATTTCATTAACAGAAAGACAGTGGAATGATCTTGCAGAACTGGAAATCCTTCTTTCAACACCATATATAGCCACAAAAAAAGCTACAATCTGAAGAATTAACAGGAGACGAGAATGTTAGAAGATGTAGATAACTTTAATGTTTCACTAACAAAAAGATTGTGGAATGATCTTGCAGCATTGGAAACTCTTCTTTCTGTACCATATATAGCCACCAAAAAGCTACAATCTGAAGAATTAACAAGAGGCAAGACTGAAAGAATACAATGTTTGTTCTTTCTGAAATGGAGGTTTATTGCAGAAGGAATCTCGCTAGACAAAAAGATAGCGCTGCGTTCAATATATGTAGATCCAAAACGCCGAATTTTGTTGGATGACAAACAAATTAAAAAGGCAAAGAAAGCCATCTATGAATATTCATTAAGAATGAAATTATTCTCAGAACAATGGAGTATTCAAATCAGGACAGTCAAACTGCAGATATTGCAACTGAGTCTCTATCATCATCTTCCACTGAAGAATTAGATTTTGAGAAATATTTGGATAATATTGAAAAGGCTAAGGCAAAGTGAATGAAAATAAAGAACCAATAGCCTTATCCTTTAAAAATGAAAAAATACAAACAACATTTATACACAGTCTTTGAAGAAATATATAAATATGATTGCTCTTGCTAGACATCTCTTTTAGAACTTACAAAAATCTATCCTGAAAAGTTAAAGGAAGTAGCCGTAACAGTAACAGCTGTTCTTCCTATTCAAGTTAGTGTGAAAAGACTCCTCTCAATTCTGAAGTTTATCAAATCGGATCTATGGTCCTCTAACAAAGAAGATCTTTCCGAAGTTTTACTGTTTCTTAGAAATTAGTAATGCCAGTTTATCCATTTCATAATAAATGCTAATTAATATAAAAAAATTACCATGTATCAGTTTTTATCTGTAGCATCTACTACTACTTTTATATTAAAAAAATAATCTGTACCCATGTTTATATGTTTACATATATATGAAGGAGTCAGAGTCATTAAAATTCCAGGAGTCGGTCATTTTCCCTATCGACTCCACAACCCTGGTGACCAGGAGAGGCAACAAAGCCTTACTAGGACCAAGAGCTTCACTAGGAAATCCTCTGAGAACTTTAATGTTGTACTAATTAACAAGAAATTTGCAGACTTTGTGCATCTGTTTTCTTTGTTTTATCCTCCCTTTTTTTTCCTTCTACAAGAAACAGTGAATATTGTCTTGTAAATTATTTGCATGTAGAATTTGAAGTAAATCAAATATGCTACCTTTTGTTTTGTGCCAACTCACTACACTACTTTTAAAATGATGTAAATGTATGTTTACATCATTTTAAAAGTAGTGTAATCATTTTCTTTGCCATATTATTAGCTATTCAGTATAGTTACTGATTTTTTCATATATATATGACTTTTGAAAGAAGTAATTTATACATATTAATTCCATATGTATTAATATTTTAGTCTATATTAGAAGTTAATTCTTTTTTAGGTATACACCAGTTGGGAGGTCATTTTTTTCATCTCCTGATGGCTATAATCACCCATTAGGAGGAGGCCGAGAAGTTTGGTTTGGATTTCATCAGAGTGTTAGGCCTAGTCAGTGGAAAATGATGCTCAATATTGATGGTAAAATTTATTAAATGATTTATACTAGAACTTTCTGAATGCAAGTTTTCTGTTTTGCACTACAAATGTAGAATTATCAATATTCCCTTCCCTCTACAAACTGTATTTCAAATTTGTTTTTATTTATATTAATATTATCATCCCCATCTTGAAGCCATAACTCTGAATCTGCAAAATCATTTCGTTCAAAAAATGTGTTTAAATATTAGCACTGACTCAGGGTTAAAAAAACTTAATTACGACTTTTACAGAGTAATGTATACTTGTAGAAGATGCTTCTTTTATTTAGGGTAAAATGTTAAAAGATCATATAAAATTAATGTGAGTGAAAAGCAGATTTGTGTGGAGCCAGTAATATAAACTGACTATATTTTGTACTTCATAAATTTTCTTAGAAATGTTTTCAAAGCATTGTGAAATATTTTTTTTATTTAAATTTTATGTATGTTTCAATATGCAAACTGTTGATTATAAAAATAGTCATTTGAGTTTTCAATAAATAAATAAATAAAATGGATCCTTAGCCCAAAGCTTACATACCAGGTGTTTCCCGTTGAATGGGGCGAAAAGGATAACAGTACAAATTCTGTAATTGATTTATTAGCCAAAATATATTAATTCTGAAACTGCAACTATACAGATTTTATCTGGCTACAGCGAAAAATCTTCTGGTTATGAAATTACCACTAGAGGCTCTGCTAATCAGAGTGGTGCCATCTATGTAGGAGAAAGCATACTGTGTTTTGGAAAACATCATTTATTGTAATTGAAGAGATTTTCATATCAAACTTGATACAGAACCACCACATCACTCAACATCGAACAGTGGGTGAAGCAGTTTCGGGACAGTGGCTGCTTGTGTAAGAAAACCAGCCCAGGGCGAACAGCAGCCAGAACTGAAGTGGTTGAAAAAATTTGGGATATTTTTTTATGAAGTCAGAAAAAATCAGTGTGTCGTGCGAGTTCTGAGCTCAATGTCTCTCAACCATGTGGCATGTGTTACGGAAAGGTCTAGAATTCGAATCATACGCCTTTCAGATATTGCAAGTGTTAAAACCTTCGTACAAACCATTGCATAAAACTTTCTGTGAGAGTTCCAAGGTAAGCTGGAAATAGATGGTTTCATGAACTGATTTGTGTTCACAGATAAAGCCACTTTTCAAGTTTCTGACACTGTTATGATTTTGGGCCATGGAAAACCTGCATTGTGTAGTGGAATGTGAGTGTGATTCTCTAAAGAATCTCACTACTATAGATTCACTGTACATTTCATTTATCTAAATAAAGTAATTACAGTGTTCTGATGCACACTTTCATTTTGTCCCATTTAATATGAAACACCCTGTATAATAATGATGATAAATTACTTTATTAAGACTGAAAGTTTATTTCCCTTTAATAACATTTTTGGTACAGTTACACATAACTTCCTTGCTAACTTGGTTTTCTTCCTAACAAACTTGGTTTCAGTTTCTAATTTAATTGTTTAATTGTTAGCAACTTTTTAAGAAACCTTTCATTAAAACTTTTTTTTTTTTTAAATCTTATTTTTTCAGTTATTTGGATAGGTGATGCACTTTTTATCAGGAATGGAAGAAATCGTAGGCTCAGCAATGTCATTAACCCATTTTATAACTTGATTTACTTTCAAAAGATATTTTATGAATGTAAATAACATGATTAATATGATATATTCATTGTATGTGTACATATCTAGTGTAAAAAATAGGCTTCCTGGTTTTTGTGTTGCTAATCTAAAATATTTAATTTTTAGTATCTGCTACAGCTTTTTACAAAGCACAACCAGTAACAGATTTTCTGTGCGAAGTGTTAGATATTAGAGATATCAATGAACAGAAAAAACCCTTAACAGACTCTCAACGTGTAAAATTCACCAAAGAAATTAAAGGATTAAAAATAGAAATAACTCATTGTGGTGCTATGAGGAGAAAATACAGAGTGTGCAATGTAACTCGCAGACCTGCTCAGCTTCAATCGTAAGTATTTTAATCTTAAAAATTTTATTTCTAAGAGAAAGTTTTAATTCATATGTTATTCGTACCTGATATTTAATTCAGCATTATAAAGAACTTAGCAGTATTAAAATAGTAGTTAATTTTGGCTGCCATATGAAAAAAAAAATTAATTTGTTATTTAAAGTATGAAAACATTCTTTATAATGATTTGTTATGTAGGAAAATTAAGATATTTATTCATTGAATAACTACAGGAATTATTTTCTTTTAATGTAAACATGTTTCTGTTTTCTGTAGCTGTGTACATAAACAATAAACATCTTATGATTAATTTTTTTAAATATTTTATTATTCTTTTTAAATTAATTTATGAAAAATAAGAGAAAAACATGCACTGCTGTTTAGAAAAGAAATACATCTCTTTAAAGAAGATTTTTCCGCTAATTATCCTCCTCCCCAAAGTATTCAGGAGGCAAAAAATTATGTCTCCAAAATAGTTATGTGGCAACTCAAATTTGATTAAATACATATTTAGAGAATTTTTTATATGTAATCTTGCTTTGCTTTTGATTGTAACATTGACCTACCTGCAAAGGAGTTCAGAAATTTTTTAAATAAATATGTAATTTGTGCATACTATTCCAAGATGCACTCTGAAATATTTTAAAAAAAACTATACTGTTGTGATCCAAGCTGTTACGTCTTGATATGGATTATGAAAATGCTTTCAGAAAGCAGGTGCTGTCTGTTGTCACAGTCACACTACTATATGAGTAAAATACTGTCACACAGGATAAAATAAAATTTGACAAACCTATAAATTTTTGCATTATTGGTATATCTGTCAGTGTTTATTTATTGATATTTGGGATGCAGTAAATTGATAATAAAGCAAGTAATGAATCATGTTGTGAATGATAATTTTGGTCTAAAAATTGTCAAAAGAACTTGTAAGGCGTGGAATTATAAGGAAATAGAATTCCATATGGGGTGGGAATAGAACACTGAATGCTTTTGAAAAATTTATAAAGAATCGGGAGCAGAAAAATCCTTGAAATAAACATGAAAATAAAGTATGTATAACATATTATAAAATGTCTTCCTTTCAGATTTCCTCTTCAACTGGAGAATGGCCAGACTGTTGAGTGTACAGTAGCAAAATATTTCTTAGACAAATATAAAATGAAATTAAGGTAAGCAAGATACAGAGTTTTAGTTCTAGAAGTTAAAAAATAGTTTGTTTTCCAAAAACTGAAGCCAATCTTTTAAAATAAACCGTGTTTAATTAAAATGTTTTATAAAGTTTTTATTCATGTTTAAAAAATTATTATTAAGATTTGATATTGGGAATTTGAAATGTATAACAGTTATGTGCAGTTCCTTGTGGGGTGATATAGAAAATATTTTACATGATATAGTTCTTATTTACAGGGCAATAATGAAATATCTTGCATTTACTAATTGAAATACAGTGATAGATAATTTTATTACTTTTTATTTAGGTATCCACATTTTCCTTGTTTACAAGTTGGACAAGAGCATAAGCATACATACCTTCCATTGGAGGTAAAGTTGTTTAAATCTTTCCCTTTGCTTGTTTCACCTTTTTCTGTAAATGTAGTTTCTTATTTGAAGAGTTCTATAAATCTTGTTTTCTATAATTTTATTTTCAATTATTGCATCAAATATCATTAAAGAAATGTGGCTAAAGGACCAAAATTAACAGAAGTATATTTTGCATACTTGAAAATACGAGGCGTGTTCGGAAACTAAATACAGTTTTGAAAAAAAAAAATAGTAAAACAATTTTTTCGAATCCAATTTTATTTTTACATGAAAATACATGTCTTAAACTATTTTTCAACATAGTGTCCGGCAATGATCAAACACTTGTCATAGCGGTTTTTGTATACCATCGTCAAAGAAACTTCCCGGCAGTTTCGATAACCACGACTCCACAGCATTTTTCGTGTCATCGTCAGATCCAAAGCACTTGCCACCAAGCTCGCGCTTCATGTGCAGGAACAAGTGATAGTCGGACGGCTCCAAGTCCGGGCTGTACAGCAGGTGATCGAACTGCTCCCAATGAAACTGTCGAATTAACGATTGAGTGATTCCAGCAGTATGGGGCCGAGCATTGTCATGGAGCAACACAATTCCTTTACTGAGCATTCCTCTTCGTTTGTTTTGAATGGCACGCCTTAGTTTTGTTAGTTTCACAATATCGTGCTGCATTAATGGTTTCACCTCTGGGAAGAAATTCAGTAAGCAAAACGCCTTTCCTATCCCAGAAGACAGTGCACATGATTTTTTGTGATGACATTTGAACTTTTGTTTTTTTGAGAATGAGTGTGTCTCCACTCCGTCGATTGTTGTTTTGATTCTGGTGTGAAATGACACACCCAAGTTTCATCACCTGTCATAATTTGGTTTAAAAAGTTTTCTCCCTCATCACTGTACAGCGTGAGAAATATCAGGGCACTACCAAGTCGCTTTGTTTTGTGAACATTAGTGAGTATTTTTGGAACCCATCGGAAACACAGTTTGCGATAATTCAAGCAGTCAGACACAATTTTGAACAAAACAGTACGTGAAATTTGTGGAAATGCCTCTGAAAGAGTTGTCGTTGTGAAGCGTCTGTTCTCATGAATTGCTTCATCAACTTTCCTTACCAAATCATCGGTGACAACAGAAAGGCGACCACTCTGAGCTTCGGCGTGGACATTTGTTCGACTTCTGTCACTTGATGATAAATTTTGGCCGCTTTAACATTCCTCGCGTCCAAAAATTTAATCACGGCACGAATCTCTCAGTCAGCGGGAGAACTAATTGTCTTAAACATTTTGAATGTGCACAGCAAACTGAAAACACAAATAGAGCAAACCAAAATGGCGACAATTGAAAGTCAGTGAACAAGAAAGACTAGTGCGCATGCGCGGGACGCCTACCACAGCGCTTCGACGGCGCTAGAATGAAACGATACTTAGTTTCCGAATACGCTACGTAGTACGAATAATGATAAATTTGTTTTAAATTACATTTTTATTTTAGTTTAATTATTTTAATTGTTCTTTTCACTATTAACTTTATAGTAATTTCTCTTAGTATCTTCTAATGTTGTTTATTTTTGGTACATGATTTAAACTTTATTTTGTTAATAAATTTTATCTCTCACTCTCACTCTATTAGGTTTGCAATATTGTTGCTGGCCAAAGGTGTATAAAAAAATTGACTGACATGCAGACATCCACTATGATTAAGGTAATTAAATTTTATTATTTTTTAGTTATTTATAATATTTGTTATAATGATTTAAAGTAATATTAAGAGCAATGTAAATGTGTTAAAGTAAGGCTTTAATTTTCATATTATCAAATATATTAGGTATAGTCATTCCGAAAGCAGTTTTTGGAGGATTAGACTGTAGGATAATAAACACACACATCGGTACACCATCAGCTAGAATTTTTATTAATCTGATTTAATGTTTTTTGTTTCATTTTTACCCTCTCAATATTACCCTAGGGAGTTTAAATATATTTTTCTTTAATCTAATAAGCATGCTACAACTGATTTGTAATGTAAAATGTAAATCTCAAGAAACAATTTGACTCCTGTGAGTTTTTTATTGTTTTGAAATTTATTCCATCTTTTCAAATGCTATTGCTAATTTATCTTAATTTATTTGTAAAATTTCTGTTCGTTAGTATTTAACATAATGATTTTTAAATTTAATTAGTTTTTCTAAAAATGACCAAGTTTATTTTATCAATATGAGACTTCAGTTTCTGATCCATAGATAGCTTTATGATACTCATGAAACTACTTATACATTGTTTCAAATTAGAGTATTTCTTATAATTGCACATTTCATAAAATTTCATAAACTTAAAATTATTTCTTGTACTGCAACCATCCTATAAAGATAGGATTGATGAATGTACATATTGATTTAATTTATATTTACATTTACCTTTTTTTAAGATTAATTTTGCATATCTGTGAATTTAGAAGTAGTCTTTTTCTTTTACATTTCTCGATTCACCAACCCCCTCTGATGGAGATGTAGAATCTGTTTGCCTTTAATAATTTTTGTATGAATTTTAGTTTGAACGGTATTGGTTTGTCTGGGGATTTTAGTTCTATGGAAATTCTTTAAAAATGACAGGCTACAAAATTTATCCCCCCCCCCGAAAAAAAAAAAAAAAAAAGAAAAATTATATATATATATAAATGGTACTTTGTTATTATCGCAACCACCTTGGTGCAGTTTGGCAATTTTTTTAAAAGGAATAATAAAAATGGTAATTTCAAATAGAATAAAGTTATTTATTTTATATTGTACATGTTATTAAATACATATTTTAATTTTAGTTCAGTATTTTTCCCAGAAAACAAATTATAAAACTACTTACAAATGGTATATCCTGCATGTAATCAGTGCAGTCTACCTCAGTGTTACCGGCCATTTTAACTCTTCTAAGCAACACTTGCTCATTCTGTACTCCAGCAGTATATAAATCTGACTGTTATAGTACATGGCAGACAACTATTTTTGAACCAATTACTGCTTTGAATGCCGATGTTTTTCATACACTTTTTCATGTTGCATTTCAAAAGTACAACATCATGAAATGCAAATCTGAGCATTTCTGCTTTTGTGGCAAAATACTATATTCCTGCACAGAGGTTTCTTTGTTTGCAGGCAAATTCCATGAGCGTACGTTTCAAAATTCAGCTGAATACCAAAAATATCACAGTTTGCATGTTAAGTTTTTAATACAACAAAAAAATCATGCACAAAATTGGCAATGTTGCTTATTCAAACTTGTAGTTATCGTTATGGTTATTTGAAGATTTGTTACGTGCATGATTGCCGCAGTTTAGCCACTTTTACCAAGGTGTTTATGATAATACCAAAGTACCCCCCCCCAAAGAAAATGCAGGCCAAGGGAAAGCATGCAAAACGAAACCAACGTGTTTATCCAATAATTGGCGAAATGGCTGTGACATCATTACGTGCTAAGTAGGTGGTTTTGTTAGTTTTGAAGAGTAGCTATTCCTAGATCAACAAATTCAAACCCTTACTTTTTCAATTAAGCACACTGTAGTGAAAAGCTTGTTTACTTGCGAGTCTGGTTCAGTTATATTGAGAAAACTTAGCATGTGCTGCAAGTTGTAATTAATTTTTTCCCCAGACAGTTTTTGAATTATATGCTGCCTTAGTATAATAGGATAAAAATTCGTATTCTACGGAAATTCCATGCATTAAAGCATCTAAAGTTTCTGTAAATGATGCATTTTTCGCTAGAATAAAGATTTTTCAGTTGTGTACAGTATAAAATGTAATTGTAAACAACATGTATTTTCTCATGTAGCCAGAATGAAAGCCAGAAAGAAAGAAAAAAAAAAAATCAGATATCATTTAGACAAAATTTAGATATGAATCCATTCTCATTAAAAGGTAAACATGCAGGCAAAACTTAAATGTACAGGGTGCCCACTAAAGTCCGATAGCACCTGCTTAACTGACAAACGGCTGCAGCTGTAATCATAAAAGTTTTTGTCTAGGTGTAGTAAAGAGGCTGTGTACTACTAGATCAGAGCACTTACAGTGACACCTGGTGAAAAACAGCGGAGTTAGCTTTCCTATCTTGAAAACAATGTGAGATAAGAACAAAATGTGAATTACAAAGTTGTAGAGCATCATCGGTTTAGTACGAAACACCTCATGGACATGAATGTTAAAAACAGAATGTTTTAAATGCGCATATGTTTGTTCGTGCGTGATTTCGTATACTGTGACATGGCGAAATGGTCTTAAAAAAAGGGGAAACGAGTAGTAATCACAAACTACCTTTATTTTCAATGTTCAAACTTCTCTCTGTTAGCTGAAATGCACATCTGAACTCATGTTGCACGCATTGGAGCATTGCGTAAGCATCTGTAGTGCGCTGTCGAAGGTCCTGCAGTGTTTGTGGAGTGGTTGCATACACTTGCTGTTTGAGGTATCCTCACAGGAAAAAGTCCATTGGAGTTAAGTCAGGTGAACATGAAGGCCACTCTTCGAAAACACCCTACCTAATTATTTGTTTTTGGAACTCCTCCATCAGCTAATGCTTTGCTTGTGATGGCTTGTGCATACGTTGTAATTGATTATGCAAATTATATATTTATTTCCTGTTTTTGTTGTTAGGCTACTGCACGTTCAGCTCCAGATAGAGAAAGGGAAATTAATAACCTTGTAAGCAATACCGGTCTCACATCTGCTTCAAACCAAGTAAGTAGCACATATTTTTGTTATTTAGTAATGCAAAAATATTTTAGATTTTAATATACTATTTTAATATTTATAATTTAATATTTATACATTTTTTCTTGATGTTTCTTTCTTCCCCAGGAATTTGCACTTATCTCTTGTTATTTTTTAAAAATGTAAATTGCGTTTCATTATTTCCTTTAATATATTTCAAACATTGAGTGATTGTACCTTCAAATTTGAGAGCTAATTCGTGAATTTCAAATGTAACCAAAGCTCAGTTTAGTAATTATTAAAGGATTAACCAAAATTATTGATAAAGCAAGAACATGCCATAGCTAATTTTATATAAGATATCCGTTACAAAATGCTAATTATTTATATTTTAATTATTTAGCTTATTTATATTTTATATACATATGTGATGAAAGTTGTATTTTTAAAAGTTATTAATGCAGCTTTACCAGATGCATTAATACAGTTTTGCTATAAATTGGTGATCTCAAACTGTTGCCCCACAAATACATTTCCCGTATTAGTATTATTATGACATGAATTTGAAGAAAGTTTTAAGATTTTAATAGAGTCCAATTTTACATTACTTTCAGTATAATAAAGAAATGAATGTGAGTAAATGTTCCTGAAAATCTACAAATGCAGCTAATTAATTTACACTGTGATATAAATCTTAATCAAATATTTGAAGACACATATTTAATTAACTTTACTTGATTACTTGTCAAAAGTAAATATGCTTAGCTACAAATTTTTGATATAAGAATAATCACTTTGTTTGAAAGTTCATTTGTATTTGAACAGTCTTCTTTTACCACAGTTAAAAATTAAGAAGTCTAAAAAAGAAGACTCACCTGTGAACATCCACAATTTGTGATTAAGATAGTTTCTAGCAGTTTTTATTTGATAGTTTTAAATTTAGCGAGACGGAAATGCCTTGAGGTTAACTGAAGTTGTAACTGAAAGTTGTGGTAAGAAGTAAAGAAGCTATAATTATTTACATACAAATATACAAGTATATAATTTTTTATATGCATAAAAAATTGTTTGTCATAAATCATTCTCAAATTGTGTTCCGTTTGGAAAACTTTCCTAATTTGTTTATTTTTTGTGTAAGATGACAGCAAGTTATTTACGGGTATTTTTCCAACACATTAGAATTTTTTAAAATAAATGTTGGTCTGAAATTTTTATATTTAGCTGTTAATATGTTTGAATACAAAATGTAACTATCAAAATTTTCTTGCAGATGCTAACCTTAAAAGTACAATTAAAAAAAAAAATTGGGGGGGGGGAAGAGAATTTGAGCTACCACCTACATGCATTCAGCCCATATGCAATTTGTGTTTGTGATCACTGCTTTAAACCATTGCTGTGTATTCATCTTAACAGTGTAGGAAATACTGTAGAAAAAATGTTGTTCACGTTGACTGTCAAGGATTGTTTGCAAACAAGAAAAGACCTATTGTTAGAAGCGTACGAAAAAAAGAAATTTTACAAAAAAAAAAAAAAAAAAAAAAAAAAAAAAGAAAGTTGAATTTTCAGTGTAGAGAAAAAAGGAAGGCTTTTCATTTTCTGCTTAAACATAAAAATTATTCCACCTCCTTGGAACAATTAGCTGTTTTCACAAATGAATGAACTTTTTTTTCTCATGTGCAGTAGTCTGCATTGGATTGTTATCAATGGGCAAACAGTATTATTCTACATGTAAAATGTAGTTAGCAGAGGTACTCTTATATCTGCATCTTCTAATAATATCTTTGCTTTTGAAATCTGGTGATTTCCATCCTTTCTGTGCCAAATTGTGAAGTGCAATTTATGCAGTTTGTTTCAATTCAAATCTTGAAACATCATTGTATCAGCTTCCAACTCATTTTTGGAAGTGTAAATCTTGCTTTATGAAAACAGTGCTTAATCTATTATATTTGAATGTATCTAATCGTACTTTCCTCAAAATTCTTTAGCCTCTTGCGTATGTATTTAAATAATAGTTTTATTGAGAAAATCCTTTGTAAAATTTCAACACTGGATTTATGCATTGAAATGTTAAATTTACGATGCTGCTTATAATAGGCACCATTTCATGTGATCCGATTTGTCACTGACTATTTTGATGGCATTAATGAGCGTGAAAAATACCTCTGATATCACTGAAATTTAATTAATATAAATATAACTAGAAAAATATAAATACTTTCACAACATTTTAGTGAGGAAAACATCAGAATATTTTGTCTGCTTATTGTTTGTCTGTTACTGTTAAGTTCTTTTATGAATTGTTCATAATGTTTCTTGAAATTATTTAATCAATGCTGTACTCCTATTCATAATAGTCATGGTATCCTTCATGTCAGCATTTGTATAAAATTTACCGATTTTGTCATTTTCATCAGGAAGTTTATCATATTATGTGTTTGGATTTGTTACAGAAAACGAGTGGCAAGTATTTTATTATTGAGGCTCCAGTTTGAGTGTTTTCATCAGTGTCCACTCAAATGTTAAATTTTTCACAGCTCATGTTTAGTTGCAGACAACATTTTTTAGATCTTCAGTTTCTTCTATTTCATCAATTATTAAGGGGTTGACATGCTGAAAGCTGTTCTTTGTCTTTTCTGAGACACAGTACCAAGACATGTTAGGGAAATGCAGCAGATGAAGAAGGCTAGTTCTCCTTGTTCATTTATTTTCAATAACAAGTCATGTTTTTAAAGTAAATACCATTAAGAAATAGCAATAAAAATAGAATTTTCTTTCCAGCTATGAAAGCCTGTATCTCAGTCTGTTTTTCAACATAATTTCCACCAATGTTAAGGCACTTATCGTATCATACAACCAGTTTTTATGTCCCCTCTTCACAGAAGGCTTCTGCCTGATTTGACATATACTGCAACACTATTGTTTTGACCTCATCGTCGTTGGGGGGGGGAGACCACACAGATGTTTTTTTCAAATGGCAGGAACATATTGGGACTGTACAGTGAGTGATCCTGTTGTTGCTAGCAAAATGATGCTATGAGATCTTGAATTTGTTCAAACATGTTTGGACGAGCATTATCATTATGAACCAAAAAATCTCCCCTTTTCAGTCTGCCACTGCCATCTTTAAAAGCCATTTCCGTACCATTCCATCACTCATAATGTTTCTCCGTACAATTCTAATCTAACAATGAATTTCAATCAGTTTCATGACTTATGTATTAAGAAATTGAATCACTGATTGCATTTTACAGTTTGCGGGATTTTCTGTCTTCAGATTCATTTTAAATGCTCAAAAACAAATGTTAACACGGTATAGTTTTTATCGGCATTGTGTGTTCAGGATAATATTATAGAATGGCCCATTCATTTCACAACAATGTAAGTTCCTGGAAAAATAAATCAACATCTTTTCCTTCACCGGCAATGCATTTGTAAACAATGTTTTCTCTTTTCTTCTTATCAGCTAAACTAGCCATATGTTACTACAAAAACATTTTTCTAAATTTGGCTAATTTTTGAGTTTTCTGCTGCATAAATGAACCTTTGAATGCCATATATTTTTGCTTTTTCAGTAGTAAGATCCCCATTGTGCATCCATCTTATGTTTTCATTTCAATTTTCCTTTGATTTGCAAATATCTTTCATGATTTTTGATAGTCTTGCATAATGGTAGTTGAGAAATATTTAATATAAGAGCAATATTCTTCCGACTTAGTTCTGGAAGTTGGTTATGGTAGTTTAACAAGTTGATTAGGATATGGTTTCAATTAAGCTAGGACAAATCTGATGGACATGTTTTGTAAGAGTAACATATATATGTACGCACATTAATTTATGTAGGTATATCTGAAAACTGAATTTTTGCAGTTTTAGCAGTAGCGAGTGTTTACCTTGAAATTGTCAAAAAGGATTTTTTTTTTTTTTTAAAAACTGAATACTTACTTTTTTTAAAATGAATTTTATTAGTATTTTTTCCATTTACTTAATATATCACAGTGTATCTTTTTAAGGAATTCAAATTTTTAAATTAAATATAATCTTTATAACTTTTTTGTTTTGTAAAGAAGGTCTGTTAGCATACATGCCTTCTGCATTTTGCATTTTTTTAAAAATCATGTTAAAATGTGATTACTATTTGAAAAATATTTTATAATTTTCAGGTGAGGAGAGCTGATTTTAACAATGATCCATATGTTCGTGAATTTGGTCTTTCTATCAGCAATACTATGATGGAAGTGAGAGGTAGAATATTACCACCTCCTAAGCTTCAGTATGGAGGTCGAGTGAGTATTTAAATATAGTCCATGTTGCTGTGAAGTTTGATCTGTGATTTAAAAAATTAATAATCAATAATTGTCACACAAATTAGGACTATGACTTGATTTCATTATTGTTTTATGGATATTTGACAATTGAAAAAATGGCTTTTTTACATACTTATTTAAATGAAAGTGTTAATGGCAATAAATTATCATCAACTGTCCATTTTGTTATTGCAGTCATGTAATTTAAGTTGTATTAACAATATATTATGTCTTATTTTGTTGCTCTTAATCCTGCATTTGTTATAATTTTGTAGCCAAAACTTAATTATGGGAATTTCCAGCAACAAACAAGTTATATTAATGAAGTTTAGTAATTAGTAAAAGTTATAGTAATTAGTTTGATTATAATGTACAGGGAATCTCAGACTTCAAATGCCCCTCATCATAAATATATCTGTTCACAAATAAATTATCTAAATTCTGAAAAACAATACTGGAAATTACGAACATTCAAGCCAACAACAGATGATTTTCAAATCTGTTTGGTGGTAACCTCTGATACAGAATTAATACCCGGGGATTTCTAGAAAATCATATTAATATTTTTCTTACCTTTGATTAAGTGACAAGTGACTTACAAGACCATGAATTCACATACCTGCCAATTTTTCGTAATTTTTACAAAAATGCGTAATCCATTTTTTACGATTTTTTTCTTTTTTCAAGTGTTTTTAGTGATTTTGTCGAAATTTTGGAATTTTTCGCCAATTCAGCGATTTTTGCCCATTGCATCGTGTTTTACCGCCAACTACCGACTACTTCGAATCCAGTAACCTGCGGTTTCTCCCAACTCGCTGCTTAACCAGCCAATCCAATGCGCTGAACTTGTTTCTCCCACTCTTTTCTTTGTGGGCGCCAGATTATATTTTTCAAAAAAACAATCTTCTATTAGCCGGGAGGAAAGGATTTTCTATCTTCTTTCTTCGGATTTGAACAAAGCATATTGCAGATTTGTGTTAAGTACCATTAAGATTTTTGAAAGTTTAAATACCCTTTTACAATCAGCTTCGCTAAAATCTGCCCTGCGTATCCAAATTCTTAATGATCTTTTGAAAGAACTTTAACTAAGTTTGTAAAACCGTCCGTTGTGAAAAACAGTGTGTTGTTTCGTATTGCCTATAATAGTTTGGCAAATCAAAAGGATGGCAATGATCTTATAATTGGAAATCAAACCAGGGAGCTTGTAAATTCTTTGAAAGATCATGAGAAAAAAGAATTTTTTCAATGTGTTAGAAAGTACTTTTCCTCAGCCTGTGATTACATTGTAAGGAAGTTTCCTTTGCAAAATGAAGTTCTTTTAAATGCTGAAGTGGCAAATTTGAAACAAATTGAAAATTCATCTTTTGAAAAGATTTGTTTTTTTTTATTGATAAATTTCCATTTTTGTTAACAATTAAAGAAAATGAATGCCATAAAGATACTTTAGATGAACTACAGAACCAATTTTCTGGAGAAGATAGACATGATGTCCTCGTTGGTACCTTAAAAAGAATAAAAAGAGCTGATGGAACACCAAAATATGATAGACTAGCAAGAGTTTTATGTGCTATTCTCGTAATTCCACACAGTAATGCTGAGCCTGAGAGAGTCTTCAGTGTTGTGAAGAAAAACGAAACTATGTTTCGTTCTTCAATTTCACCAAAAACTCTAGAAAACATTTTAATTGTTAAATGTTATGAGGAAACTAATTGTTATGACAGGAAATTTTCCATTGGCTAAAGCCAAAAAATGCACTCTAAATTCATTGCAATAATTTTTTTGTGTAACATTAAGTTCTTGTTTTATGTTTCCTAATAAATTTTTTAGTTACACTTAATTGAGATTTACTAATGTAAGTACAATTTTCTTTTTTCTATTTGTATAAATTGTTATTTTTTTTAATATCAAAGCATGATATTAATTCTTCGTGTTCTGAATTTTGGAGAAATCTTCTGAATTTTTATCTTTAGAGGTTGGCAGGTATGAATTCAGTTTGGAGAAAATTATGGACAGGTTGTGTTAAACAGAAGGCTGTGTGTATTTTTTTATTGTCTATGGTATTGAGTCCTTGGACCCAAAAAAGGGGGGTAGAGGCACTTGGAAGTTAACAATGAAAACATGAAGGATTTTCTATTTGGACTAGTTTTCTATTTGGAAAAAAAAAAAAAAAAAAGAGAGAGAGAGAGAGAGATATAGAGAGGAGGATCAACAAGAAAGAATGGAAACACTTTCAGAAGCAGGAACAGAAGGCAATTGTGGATGATGTGTATTCAGAGGAAGGAGAATAAATATGATATAGTTTTTTTATCTGCAAAATTATGCAAAATAGGATAACATGCAAAGTTTCATGTAACATATCACTTTCATAAAACAGTAGCAAGCTACAGTGAAGCATTCTCTGTGACAGTGTCATGTTTGAATTTAAAAATATTTTAAAGCATAGATAATAACAAATAATATCCTATGAATTTTGCTCGAAACAGAGCTCAGTCAGTCTCAAGCAGAGTTGAGTTTTGCTAAGAAAAAGGTGAATGATAGATGACCTGCAAAGTTTTTACCTGATATTTTTATGGAGAAGGATTTCTTATTTAAACTATTATATCTCTTCCTTATAAGTTTAAATTTATGGCATCCACTTTTCTTCATATGGGTAGATTATGTCTATTTTATCTGTTTAATATTATGTTTACTTTCTTCCTTTCCTAAAATTTAATGATTTCCACTATTTTTGTACTTTTGTGAAAAGTACTGCTGTAAATTTTAAATAAGCAATTATTTAAGAATGAATTAATACATTTTGCATTAATTCGTACAGAGAAAAAAGTTTTGGTTTATAAACATTTTGTATCACAGATTACCTATAGGAATTAAATTTATGAACTATACTTAAAAATGTTCTATCAGTGCATATACAGTCAAAAGTCGTTAATCCGGACTCGTCGGGACTTCGGCGATTCCGGATTATCGATTTTTCCGGATTATAGATCATCAGTTTAAATCTCGTAAGATGGCATGCAGAAATTCTAAAATTAAAAATATGAAACCGTAATTTATGAAATAAAGAACAATTATGATCTAAAGGGTATCAAAATTTGCAAAAAGAAAAAGCTTAATATTTATTTGTTTACTTTAGTAAACATTTCTTTCAATGTAAGTTGTTTAAGTTTTGCTTTGTTTCATGTGATAATACTTCCCTCTTTAATTCTATTAAACAGACATAATTTCTTGTTCAGTTAGAAAGTTCCGCTGTTCAAGTCCTATAATTGCTGTGTCAAGAACACCGACTAATTTGTCAATCGAAATTTTTTCGTTTTCACTAACCTCTGTCACTTTCTTCGCTATTGGAAGCGAATTATAATGACGAGGAACTTGTTTTAAACCATATCAAAGACGGAGCACATCGAGATGAAATACTAATTTGGTAAGGAATTATAAGCCAAATAAAATAAAAACATCTGCCCTGAAGATAAGGATCGTTGCTCCCGCCGAGCAGCGTGAAATTGATAAACAGATTTCGGATTTCAAAACATACTTTCGCTTTAGATCCTTTACATATTAACACAAATATATATCGGAAATTCTATTTGTTTATAATCGAAAGTTTAAGCTTACTTTTATAAAATTGCTCTTACAGCCTGCAAAAAATAATAAGCCGGATCCAATTCGAAAATTAAGGAACAACACAATCATCAACATTAACTGAAATAGGTAATTAGATAATTTTAGCTTATACGTCCATTATACATAAAATGCGCACGCGAAAACGTATTCTGCACTTGGGCACACTCATATGCGCAGTCGTAAAAGGTCTTACGCGCACGCGTAAACGCCTATGCGCATGTGTCAACGCGGCGCATGCGCAGAAAATTTTTAGTTTTGAGGTCCGGATTATAGATCATTCCGAATTATGGGTGTCCGAATTAACGACTTTTGACTGTATTATGCAATAATGCAAGTGAGAAATTAATAGGGAGTTTGTTGGATTAAATTCGTGACAACTGAATAGTTGTTGACTATTAGTGCAAGAAGCCAATCACATTTTGTCAGCTGATTAGATTTGAACCACTCTGCATTTTTTAGGTGAAATGAAAGGCCTACGAGCTATATCTGAATATCAGTGGAAATTGATATTAATTTAAAATCAGCCAGATTGTCACAAATTTTCAATGGAAATCGTACATATCAGTTAATGTGCAATTAAAACTTTTTTTTAAAAAATAAACTTACATCAAAATAGTTCTTCCCCTCTAATGTTATCAGAATTTTTATTGGCAGTCTAAGTATTCTTAAATTATATTTTCATGCATATGTGATTTGTTAAGTCTTTTGATTCACAGACAAAGCAGCAAGCAATTCCAAATCAAGGTGTATGGGATATGAGAGGCAAACAGTTTCATACAGGAGTAGAAATCAGAGTTTGGGCTATTGCTTGTTTTGCACCTCAACGCACATGTCGAGAAGATGCCTTAAGGTTTGAAATTTTTCATGCTGTATTAATGTACATGTGGTTATTTTATTAATCTGTATATAAATGTACATTAAGTATAAATGAAAACCAAATGCTGATTTTTTAATCGTGTAATTTCTTCATTTTTGAAATAAGTAGATGCTTTTTTGCAAAGCGAATACCTCTTTCTATTTACCACTTGCTGCCAGAAGGGTATTGATCTTATATTCATTATTCAATTTCAGAATTTTATAAAAAATTGTTAATAATGTCCTTGCCATAAGTTGTCTGCATTTTATAGTTCTCATTTAGCTATTCATTATAAAATTTTTTATGTATCTCCATAATTTAAAAATGTTAAAAAAGAATTGTAATGGTTTAGTTTAATGTATTTGGTTGACTTACATCAAAAACCACTATCTGATGACTTTATTGTGGTCAATGTATTCCATTCCATTTTGATCATATTAAACAGTTTGCTTAATACATTGATGAATTCATAGTATTTTGTATATAAATGTGCGGGACTTATGTTATCCGAATGATAGTGATAATAATATTAACTCTTCATGGTCCCAGATTTTGGTCTAAATTTCCCAAGAAGACCATAAGTAAGAGGTATTTTCTTGATATCTTAATGTAATCCCAAAATGACCTGCCCAATTTGTACTTTTACTCTTCTTCTTTCAATATATATTTTACTTAAATCTTCTGGGTACATATCAAGGTGCATATCTATATACTTAAAAATATTGACTAATATATTTGAACATACATATACAGTTTGGCCACACAGAAGGTTAACATGGACATTATTGTATAATTATTTTCAGGAACACGTAAATTTTTTTTGTCTCCATAAAAATATTTCAAAATGTAAAGTATGATACCTATATAAAAGAGAAGCTACAACACTGTATTTTTATGTATTCGTAAACAGATCTCAGAATATAAAAGTTTGATACCCATATAAAAGGGTAGCTACGGCATTGTATAATGATAATTCAAACAAAACATAATTGCACTTGTATATAGCGACTTACTTCTGAAAAATGTTAATCATTAATATTCATTAAATTATATGAATTCATATTAGATTAATTGATTGTTTACCTTATAATTAGGCTTGCCTAAATTTCAAATTTTTCTGTTGTATATAACTAATAATGTAGCCCGTTACCTTATAGGGTATTTTCTCCTGCCTTCTTAACATGCCTTTGTGGTGTGGTGGTTGGCACGCCGGCGGCATATTCCAGAGGTCCACATTTCAATTCCCGGCGAAGACATTGCTAAATTTTCATCTTTCCTGCTTCCAAAAATACCTAATGTCTGTACAGTCGTGCCTGAACTAAAAAGGTGTTGGATGATGATTCTCCTCACACCCTAAAAACCCCAGTCGCCCTTTAAAAGGGAGAGTATGTAAGGCATTTCTCCTGCTTTCTTGGCATGCCTTCGTAGTGTGATGGTCTGCACACTGGGCACATGTTCCAGAGGTCTGCGGATCGATTCCCGGTGAAGGTGGTTGTTCATTTTTCATCTTTCCTGCTTTCAAATTAACCTAATGTCTCTACAGTGGCATTAGGGTGGCATTCTCTACAGTGGCTCTACCCGATCTAAAAAGGGTGTTGGATGATGTTTCTCCACACCCAGGATTTGGCGATTGGGTACACTAAAAAAACCCCAGTCACCCTTTAAAAGGGGGATTATGTAAGGTATTTATTCCGCTTTCTTGGCATGCCTTCCTGGTGTGGTGGTTGGCACACTGGGTGCATACTCCAGAGGTCCGAGGTTCGATTCCTGGTAAAGGATTTGCTAATTTTTCATCTTGCCTCTTTTCAAAAATACGTAATATCTCTACAACCTAATAATGTAAATAGGCATAGATATAAGTAAAGTAAGAGAAGCTAATGGAACGCCTATTGGTACTATATGTGTATCTATAACCTCAGTTTCAACATTCTGTGGAATTACCATATTTTCGATGGTGCACACAACATTTGCTAACCCACATATGCACATATTCCCATATGTTGGATTTATGCATTTAATATTTAAATGTGTGATATTCGAACACATCTCCTGAGGAAAAAATTTCCACTCCTTTTCTTGCATCAACTCCTTTTAAGAGAATGGAGAATAGAGCTTTCCTTTTCCTCTTATATCTTTCTCTGTGGTATACAGTATACAACATAATCACAAGACAAAAAAAGTGGATATAATTAACTTAAAAATAATAATTAAATTATCAATCTAAAGAAAAGTTTTGAATAAAAAGCATTTATTAGATTTTATATTTTATTACTTTTTTACTTTTATTATTTTTAATTTTACAAATATAAACAAATTTTCAGAAATAAAATCACAGATTCTAATTGAATTGGAAGATGCAGAAAGATGCTATGCGACAAATGTCAAATTTTACAGGAGAATAAATGCTATTCCATTCCTCACAAGAATGTGAAAGTCAAAACAAAAAATTATGAGATCGATGTAATTAACGTGCACTTAATTCAGAGTTTTGCAAACATCTTCTGACATTATTGTGAGGAATGGAACAGTTTTTTAATGCTCCTATAAAATTTGACTTTCGTCATGTAGCCTCTTTTTACATTTTGTGATTCAAAAGCACAAAAAATAGATTTTTATTAATGTGATGGTTGCTTTTCATGTACTGAAGCAATTTTTTAACATTTGGCATAAAACTGTTTAACCTAGAAATCACCTCGTCCAAAAATATTGAACCTAATTCATGTTTTCGTAATAAATTTGTGACTTTTTTGTGACCTCTTCTTTGTGGCCTGTTCTTACCTAGTGGAATTTGTGACCTCTCTTTACCTAGTGGAAGCACGCTTGTTTACAAAAGCATGCTTCCACTAGGTGAGAAGAGGTAAAATTCAATAATATTGAGCCGGTCACAACTTTTATTTAAGGCTATTTCTCTCGGATTACTTTTAAATTTTGGATTTTAGTGTATCCAAGTATTTTGAATAAGACTTTATTGATATAAAGCTATTTCAAACAAGATTAATAATGTTTCACTTGTTCAGCTGTCGACCTCTTGCTGTCGTCCTTGTGAAAACTTCAATCCTCGTCAGGGTCATTGCTGACTCTGCTGAGAATCCCTATTCTAGAATATAAAAGGATGTGGCGCTTAATATGACATTTTGAAAAGCTTAAATGTAGAAAATAGAGAATAAAGCCTTCAAATCTTTCGGCTATGGCAATGTGCCAAAAATAGTAAGAATTGCAGAAATGAGAGTGCTGAAGAAGATGATAAAATGGTATATAATGGAAACAAATAATATGAAATTATACATGCTGAAGATTACAGCAAAATTCTTCAATGTTTATAGCAACATGCTGATGTTTTTATTTCGAACACATAAAACCTCCTTGTGCACCACAGTTGTACAGCACAGGGCTCAGAACAGTTATTTCTCCCACCTTCCTAGCACGCCTTCATGGTGTGGTGGTCTGCACGCTAGGCGCATGTTCCAGAGGTCTGCGGTTCGATTCCCGGTGAAGGCAGTTGCTCGTTTTTCATCTTTCCTGCTTTCAAATAACCTAATGTCTCTACAGTAGCACCCGATCTAAAAAAGGTGTTGGATGATGATTTTCCACACCCAGGATATGGCGATTGGGTACCCTAAAAAACCCCAGTCACCCTTTAAAAGGGGGATTATGTAAGGTATTTATTCTGCTTTCTTGGCATGCCTTCGTTGTGTGGTACTGATCCAATTCACAAAGATCTCTTACTGAATATGAACAGAAGTTGGAAAACATATCAAGAGAACTTAAAAACATGTATTTCAGATGAGTCACCTATAAAAGTCTCTGAAAAACCTTCTACATTAGCAGAAAAGCAAACTGCTAGGAGTCAGAGGTAGACTCTGCATGTGCATTTCTCGAGGAAATTTCTTCAACTGTAAATGAGGAAAATAAAAGTCAACCTTCCTGCAATTATGAAGTTCACCACAAAAGAAAGACAAGCCCACAAACATCAGAAAATAAAAAAAAAGCAGCAGAAATTAGATAATTTTTTTTAAAGAATTAATTCAGGTAATTTAAAATATTTACATAAAATGTAGTAGTTTATATGTTTGAAAATTTATGGTTATTAATTTTGCAAAAAAAGTAATTCATTGAACTTTTATAATTAGGTCATTCAATACTTCATAATTGTAATTTTTCATTTCTCTCTCCCCCCCCTTCTCGAAACTCCAAAATGTCGGTAAAAGTAAGTCCATAAAAGTTTCAGGGGATTTTTTGGGGTCCCACAAACACCCCTGATACATATGTTTGTTAAGTTGTTTATGAGTTGGTGACTTTTTGTGGTGATGCAGATAATCAAAGTACTCACCTACTTGTTCAGATTGCCAGACAGTTGCCTTAGAATGTCTGGCTTTGGGTCTGCATGCTGGATGTGGCAATTAAAATGATTCTATATGTAATTGATGAGGGCAATTTTACCAACTGAAATAGTACACAAAAGAAATTCCTGATTTCTGCAACTAAATACACCAAAGTTTGTTTAAATACACCTCTCTTGTTTCTGGAACAGTTTGCAAAAAGTCCTAGTAACAAGGTGTAAAATTTCGTCTTTCTGAAAGATACGTTCAGTTATATGTATGCAGGTAGATAATGAGAATTGTAAAGTGACCAGTAGACTTTCATTAAAAAAATATGAGATAATCGAAAACTTCTTTAGTGTGGTATTTAAAATATATATGGAGTGAGAATAAAATATTTAACATTTATAAGTATTAACGACATTCGTGGAATAATGCTAAATGCAATGATGAGCTCTCCTTATGAAGCAATTAAATGCACTAGCCTCAGACCTTAGTTTTGCATTTGTTTTCACTTTTATGTCGAAACATTTAATAAATAAACGAGTAGGCTGTGGCCAAAGCAAAATTAATAAATTCTATGTACATATTAAAAGAAAATGCTTAAAAACATTTCAATATGAATAAAATCGGTTCACTCTCACCAAGCAACAACCAGTTTGTGAATAATTTTTTGTTGCCAAACCAGGAAACAAAAAACTTTTGACACTTCAGGTTAATATGTATGATGTCATGATTTAAATTCAATGTAATATAACAACTTTTTTTCAGTATCAATAAAAGAATTAATATGGCTATAACATATTGTATCAATTATCGTAACTTGAAACAACAAAGTTGCCAACAGCAGCTGTAATTTAAATTGAGACATTAACAAAAAAATGTTTGACAGAATATCACGCAATCACTTGCTTTCTTCAGCATCAGAATATGATCATATATTATAATAATACGCTTAATATTTGGTAATGCTTAATTTCATATTTTGTAGAATTTACAAATGTTTGATTAACAAACTTTATGATTTGAAAGCGAGAAGTGGCAGTAATTTTCGAAATAAAGTAAATTTTTGGCTCTGGTCTGTGAGACTGTGGCCACTCAGAAAAATGAGTGCGAAATTGAATGTTTTCAGAGTTTTTAATTAATATCTAGCCTGATTAAAGTTGTACAAAGATGAGAAGGGTAGAAATGGTTTCCTGCGAATTTTTGGAATCTGGGGGGGGGGGTGTACCTCTCTTGAAACTTAACTCCTCCCTACTGTTCCAGAGGAAATGATGTTACAAACAAACAAACAGATGCATACAGATTTTAGAAGAATAGATGGATCCTGCCATCAGACATTATTGCTCTGTATTATTTTTGTAGAAGTAATAAAGCGAATATAAAAATAAGTGTATGTTAAAACTTAAAACTGTATCAGAAATTCTAAAGGCATACTGCTTTTCAAAATTTAGTGACTGTTAAGGTCACTGTCTTATCCAAAACATTGTATAACCAAAGATTGTAGTATAATAGATGCAATATTTTAAAATAAAAGAGAAAGAACTTATTTGTACATACTGTTATCATTGTCCATTGTATAGAGAAACAGAGTAATAAAAATGAGTAGTGTTTATAAATAAGTCATAAAGTTTATAAAAAAATTGGATTTTATTCACAATTGATCAACTAGAAGTGACTAGTTTCATGTGTAACATGGAATTGGGGGGAGATCATATGCTGGCCATGTCGGATTTTTTCATTAGTTTTCTAACTGAAATAATACAGGAGTAAGGTATATTGGAAGGATAATGTAAGGGGTGAGGGGACATAATCCTGAAAGGGAAGGTTAGGTGACATTCTATTTTGTGAAATCTTGTTAAGGGGTTGCAAAAGATTAAAAGTTGGGAACCGTTGTGTTAAGCAATTTCTTCTTCTTTTCTCTCTCTCTCTCTTTTTTTTTTTTTTTTTTTTTTTGTAATAAAAGTTTTTCATTAAAACAGAAGCAATGGAGCAGTGTTCAAAGTGAAGTGTGGGCAAGTTAAATCACAGAAACACATTTTAGCAAAGATTTGATAATTGTATACTGGACAGTATATTTGAAACTGTCATTTAAATCAAACTAAAGATTCTTTGTTACTGACAATTAAAAAAAAAAAAATTGCCCCCCTTTTTTTCTTTTTCTCATTTTTATTATGTTTTGGCTTCTAATGAAAAATGTGTTTGAGACATTTTATATGTCTTGGTTGTGAATGGTTATCTGTAATTAATCTGAAAAGTTTAATGCTGTTTACGATTACCACAGTATGGCGATTGGAAAACTAGATTTTCTGTAATTTTGCAGTGGTTATTTGTGGTATATTGTTTTTTGATATGCATATTATATACTTCATACAAAATCTGTATGTAAACTTTCTGAGAAATTTGAGAACTTTTTTGAAGATTCAAGAACGTTATTGCAGGGAAAATGCACATTCATTTCTTATAGATAGTTTTCATCTGTGTATATTTTCTTAAATCAGTTTTAATACAAATTAGTACTTTTTTTTTTACAGAAATTTTACACAGCAGCTTCAGAAAATCAGTAATGATGCTGGTATGCCCATTATTGGGCAGCCTTGTTTCTGCAAATATGCAACTGGTGCCGAACAAGTAGAACCCATGTTCCGCTACCTCAAATCTACATTCCAAGGTCTTCAACTAGTCGTCGTAGTATTGCCTGGAAAGACTCCTGTGTATGGTGTGTATTTTTGTAGTTAATTAAAAATAATGCAGTAAAATGCTCTACAGTCCAGAAATCTGAGAAAATATCAACCTTGTTAATTGAGCATATAAATAATGCAATTCATGGAGCAACCAAATGAACCAAAAAAATTTCTGTTCTAAAATTATGAGGACACTCATCATATTTGCTATAAATTTGAGTATCAAAATAAATATTAATAAGCATAATGTCAAAATTAATAAATAAATAATGAGATAATAACAAAAATAATTATTATTGGCTCCTTGGGCACTTTTTAAAATCCGTTGGAGTCACATTTGATAACGTCTGCCTAAAGCTTCTTCCATGCAGGTACTAGAGTTCTCTTAGCAACGCACTCCTACACCTTCCTTGTCTATCATTGTTTATCATCACGAGACATCATTGTCTATCATTGTGAGACAGATATCATTGTCTATAGACAATTATATCATTGTCTATCATCGTGAGACAGGCAACTATGTGGGAAATGAGACTGGTTCCTTCTGTTACCTCAAAACAATGCTTGAAGATGGCTTCAGTGTAAAAATTTTAATTTGAAATGACCAACAATAGAAGTGTGGTGTTGGAAGCAAGAACTGGATCTTGATTAATTTAAATTCTTCAAGGATGTCATCTTTTAGGCCTGAATGATGAAGTAAATGATGATGTTTCAAATTCATCTCAAGCAGACTTTTTTTACAGAGGGACACTTCATTTATCCAATCTAAAAAGATCGCATGCCACCCAAACCCTGTTGTTGGACATCCACGTGGCATTTAACGTGCTGTTCTATACTTTGTACTTCTTGAAGGTTCATGGTTGCCCAAATGGTAAAGAAAAAGTTGTTTAATTTTCAAATTACCACTTGCATATGAATAAAACAATACCATTAGAGGGGCTTTCTTTGGCTTATGGCCCAACAGTGCCTTCACTGCTAAATAGTAGAATTATTAATCTTTGAATAGAAGTTCACTTCATCTTCTACCAAAAGAGATCTGTTACATCCCAAGTAAAACCCTGCTGTAGCAAATAGACCTCCTTCTAGAATATGTGGATGTTATTGGCTGAGTTTATGTCTGAGTTTGCTGCTTCTCCATGTCTCGCAATTCTGTGTATGCTAGTTCTTGTCGAACCACTCGTGGCTTGTCTTGAATGCTTTTTCTTTGTCCATTTATGAATCTGGTGTTGCCTTAGTGAGATCAGCAAAAATTAGTTTCACCTTCTCACAAATTATGTTTCCATTAATTATGCCTTGCATTTGCTTCCCATTTATTCATATGAGAAGCAATCTTTCAAAATCATTAAGAATATGTTGCCATTGTATGGAAATTCTTGTGATACCTTTTGAAGCATCTCTCTCATCAATCTTATCCTTTTTTTTGAGGATAGTTCAAATTGTTGATTAGACCAATTAACATGTAAGCGCTATGTCAGCCACACTCATGCCTCGTTCTTGCTTCTCGATTTGGTGTGCAACTTTTATGGTGATTTTTCTTCTATTTTTCTTCCTGTGATGATGCATCATTTTCTTTGGGGACAAACGTGTAAGCATTCTTAAACATTGCACTTAAAAAAGTATAATATAATGTGTTTAAAAACAACTTTGTATGATAAGGAACAATATGATGCTAGCTGAATGAGCATTAAAGACAGACTGATAGCTGAGTTGCAAGCAAAATTCTGCATGTGATGTCAGGATATCTGTATGTCACTTGGTTTGCAAAATATTGCCTCATTAAGGGAATCATTTTAAGAATTTTGTTTTGCTGATTTTGGGAAGTCCTTACTGTTATGAAATATCTTGTACTCCTGTTATACAACATTAATAACATTAATGACCTTTTTCATGCATTTTGCAACAATATATATACATATATATTAATTGAAAAAGAAAATGTAAAGCTAACTGGTAATTAGACGTAAGACCTATCTGGTCTCAAAAACTTTTGCGCATAATGCTGCAAAAAGATTTGAAAGAATAGTAGTAGGTAGGAACATTGCAGCAACCTTGCTAAAAAGTTACCAGGAGCTGTAGCTCCACGAAATGTTGTAACATAGTACTACATAAACAATAAGAAATTTGTCTGGTAAATATATATATATAAATGTGTGTGTGTGTGTGTGTGTGTGGTGTGTGTGTGTTGTGTGTGGTGTGTGTGTACTGAAAACTTCTTTTCATATTTATTTTTCTTTCCTTCTTTTCCTTCTCTGATTCATTCAGATGGTAAATACACTTTTTTAATGTTTTTTATACCATTGTATGCTCAAAAAAGAAATGTAAGAAACAATTTCCAAAGCCAATAAATTTAATTTAAGTTTTAAAAATATTTGACTTAATAACAATAGCTCTTTTTAGAAATTGAGATTTTAAAAATATATATATATATTTTTTATATTTACCCTTTGCACTCTGGCTTTTTCTATGCGGTGCATCAGCAACTCGACACGTTTTGCAGACTTTTTGATGCATTTCTTACCAGTAACTTTGGCCATTTTTGTGGTTTTTCCCTATGTGTAATGTGTATACGAGCCAGTTGCCCTTAGAAAGTCCTCCACGAAGGCATCCCTCCCTTTAGGCAGATAGAACTCGAGGCTTTGCCATAATTATATACACACACTTACCAGTAACTTTAAATCATTACACACACAAATTAATGTATAAAATTGTTATACTTTAACATTTAATATATCTTTACACCTTTATAAATATAATTTCTTAAATATTAGTCTGTAATTTTTCTGTGTATGATATTTCATGTAATAAATCCCAAGATGCATGACATTCTTGTTGGGTCAAGTATTAAAATAATATGTCATTTGATGCCTTTTTCTGGGTTCATTTCTCTGAGAACAAACTTTGTGATAAATAAGAAAATTTTATTATCATTTAAAGGGGTATCATTTTATACTTCATAAGATTATAAAGAAAAAGCATGGGAACCTGCTTCGAAGAAACTAAACGTAAACAGTTAGTGCAGCGCATCGAATTTCTGCATCAAACCAAGCAGTGAGTGAGAGTCACCTCTTGAGTGCAAAGGGTTAAAGTCTGATGAATTTTGGGAAGATAAAACATGTTGCATAAGTAGCATGTAATATGTTTGTTTCTCAGTTTGGATTCTGTGTTAAGAAGCTGTGTCTTAAAAAATACATAAACTGTGTATATCTTGTAAGACTCAACTCACATTAAATATATAAATGACATTATCTTAGAAGCATCAGATTTTCTTTGAACCTAAATTTAAAAATAGATAAATAAATAAATCTGAAAGGTTTCAGATTTTAAATTATACCCAAAGGGGCATTTTTCTAACGTTTTGTGTGTTACCTTTATTTATTAAATACCATGTTCTTTGCACTTAAACCATAAAATTCAGTTCAATAGCTGTGTCATAAAATAATTTTAAAATGAGCATATCTTTATATATTTCCGATACACAGTTCCGCGCTCTGGAGATAAAAAGGTCCTACCCTCCGTACAGTGTTGCCATTGCTCGCTTTTAAATCGTTGAGTTTGTTAATAAAAAATTCGTTAAAGTTTTATAAAATATGAAATCAAAAATAAAACAAATTCCAAATTTCAAATTTAGTCTTCCACATGCCCATATTCGTCAGGGGATTACATCATTCAAAATTCGACGTACCGTTGTTTTATCACAATGTGAGAAATATAAATACATTTATGTAGATTTTTCATTATTTAGTTTCTTCAAATATAATACAGGCCGATAATATTTGGTGGCGACAGTTTGAAAAGTGAATTGGACATTCAGAGTGATTCAACGCAAAATCGCAAAACAAAAACAATAGTCCTTCAAGGACAAAGCCCCTTTAAACTAAAAATAGTATTTTAAAATAAAGAACTTTTTAAAATATCTGTTCATTAGGTTTTGCAAACTTAATGAACTTTTTACTTTATTCTGAAAGAGAAGTATTTTGTCTACTTCAAATAAGCATACAGTAACACTAACAGTATTTATGTTCTGCTGTACACCAGGTATATTTATATTAAAGTATATGCATATTTTTCAAGTGGAATAATTATGTTTTTATTTTTAATTATTGATTATAATTTAGTAAATTAAAGATAGCTCATTCTTGTTACTGTTCAGATATACTTAGTGAACCAAAAGCTTGAAAGCATAAATAAAATATCTAAACTGATATTATCTTAATAATTTTTAAGTTTTTATAAGGTAAAATATTCATTTCTGTGTACCTCATTTATTTTTATTGACTTCTGTTTCCCTATAAAAAACTTTTTTTTTGTGGAAAAAAGTGTAGTTAATCTTGCTGTACATGACTGGAGGAAAATGAAAGGTAAATAGCTTTTAATATTAGGATTTTAGTATTTTAAATTTTTTGATATCCTTTTTGTAAGCTTTCCAAAATTCTAAAATTTCTGTTATTTCATTGCGTGGTATGTAAAATTCAAACTGTAATATATTCAATTGAAATACAACAGTGTATTAAAAAAAAAAATTATATTTATTTTCAGCTGAAGTGAAGAGAGTGGGTGATACAGTCCTTGGAATGGCCACCCAATGTGTTCAAGCAAAGAATGTTAACAAGACTTCACCCCAAACTCTTTCTAACCTCTGCTTAAAGATTAATGTCAAATTAGGTGGCATTAACAGTATTCTTGTTCCCAATATCAGGTTTGTTGTATTGCTGCCTAAATCATTGTTTCTGCTTAGTAAGACTTATTGCTTGTGGCATTGTTTCTGTAAATACAAATAGTGTATGTTAAATGGAATTAAAGATGGTTAAAATTCATATTAAAACCTGAAAATGTGGTTGTAATAGTATTGATGAAAGTCCTGAATGCATAAAAATGTCATATACAAATGGTGTGAGATTTTGGCTTCGATAACAATATCTAAATAATAGCATTAATCACAATTCCATTAAGCAGCATTATTCATTAAGTGAATATATATAAATATAAATTTTTGTAACTTATATTTTTTAATTATTTTTAGTTGTACTTCTATTACAATTTGAAAGTAATTATTGATAGTTAATATATTTTGTTTTACATACTGATGTTACAAATTTAAATTGGCCTCTTTATAATTGTTACGGCAGTGTTCACTATTTATAATTTTTCTAGGGGGTTGTAAATTAATGAGTCTGTTGGTCACAGTTCCCATATATTTTCATGGATACACATGAAAATAAGTGGTCACTGTGTCTTTCAAATTGATTCATTATTTATTACTTGTAAATTATTAAATATTTTTTAATAATTGAGTCATAAATGTTAGGAATATGCATAGTTTATAACTGTATAACTTGTTCTTAGGTACTACAGTTTTTAAGCAAGATCATAGTACATTATTATTATTATTATGATAATATAACAATGTTATAAGACTGAGGGTTTCTTTATGAAATAGTATTTTTAATCTATTAGCATTAAACAAATAAATTTACCTGAAAAAAAACAAAAACAAAATTAATTTTTTTTAAGATAATAATTTTTATATTCTGAGATGCTTGTTATTGTTATTTTCTGTTATATTGCCAGAAAAAAATGTAGTTAGAATTTTGCAATTATTTGTTAATTTTTCTGAATGCTATTTTGACATTTTTTAGTTATTTGTTTGTCTATCGGGAGAGTGGTAAATTCATTTACTGCCTCGGGTGGCAAAAGTTGTTGCTATGCCACTGACCTATTCACGGCAAATGGTGAGAGAAAAATATTCCTGGAATTTTCGAAGCTGCACTGAAATAGATATTCCTAGAACTTTAGATGTTGCACATTATAAATTATACCACTTTAATGTATTATGAATCGTATAAAGCTGCCTGAAGACTTGTACCCTCTCAATGAATTTAAATAGACCCAAACATATTCTTTAATTATTTTCTTCCTTCACATTCGTACAGGGTTCGTAGATTTGGAGTGAATAACGACGACACTTAATGAAGTATCGAAACACACTTTATTTACCAATATTCTCAGGACAACTCCAAAATCACTTTTACAGTCGTCAATCTGTTATAAACATGCTGACACGTTCAGCGACACAGCCTTCACACTGTCAGGCAATAACTGTGGAGACAGCTTCTTTGCAAAGCACCAGAGTACAGCTTCCGACTCTGTGTGGTCGTTCTCGGAACTCCACGTACTCTTGAGACTCTCCACGCGATGCATTCGACGATACACAAGAGTATAGGACGATACGTTTCAGGCACTTGAGAATCAAAATCTACTTTGCCGTCTTTTATTTCTTCATGTTTTCGTTCTTTATCTTTAATCCCGTTAGTTGTTTCATCTTTTATTTCCTGATCTTCCTCAGACAGTTCATTAGCTACTTTCTTCATTTCTTTATCCTTTGATTCTTCAGAAGCCACTTCTCTCATAACCACATCATCTTTTATGGCACCAGTTTCTTCTGTAAGCTCCTTTTTCATCTGTGGGAGTTGCTTTCACATCTTTTCTTGGCTGACATTTATTTCTTCTCGTCTGGCGTTATTCTCTTCCAGTGTGGTTTTCATCTCCTTCAGTCCGGCTTTGATCTTGTCCAGGCTGGCTTTCAACTCAGCCTTCATGTCTTGATATCCGGCTTTCATTTCAGCTCTCATCTCTTGATATCTGGCTTTCATCTCTTCCTGTCCGGCTTTCATCTCAGCCCTCATCTCGGCTAAAAAGTCCATCAAAATCTGCGTTTCCTCCGCCATGGCTTTTTTTCTTCAGGTGGGTCACTGGCCTTCACTCGCAAACCCTCACTCCAGTTGTTACGTTATTTTCTTCCTTCACGTTCGTAGATTTGGAGTGAATAATGACGACACTTGATGAAGTATCGAAACACACTTTATTTACCACACTTTATTAATTGTCAGGACAGCTCCAAAACACGTTTTACAGTCGTCGATGAACTACTATAAACAAGCTGACATGATCAGCGACACAGCCTTCAGGTTATCAGGCTATCACGGTGGAGACAGCTTCTCGGCAAAGCACTTGAGTACAGCTTCTGACTCTGTTTGGTCGTTCTCAAAACTCCACGTACTCTCGAGACTCTAAGCAATGCACTTGACAATACACAAGAGTATAGCTCTTGACTTAGCACAGTCTAAGACAAAATTCTACGATGCACTAAAAGACTCTCTCGATGCACTCGGCACTAGACTTTGAGACACTCGCTCAATGACTGACTATCTGCTCGCTAGACGAGGCACACTTACTCGCCCTCTTGATGAAGCACAGTGACTGACTGCGGACCAGCAGGGTTTATATAGCTTTCGGCTTGTGTTCGAGAACATTCTGAGCTAAACCGGTAAGAATTCGTTCCAGAAGGTTCTTCATCCGTCCATGGCATATCGTCAAATGGGCGATTTCTTGCCAAATGGGGCAACCCTAAACCTGCTTTGCGGGGAAGCTATCTTACCGCACCTGTACATTTCGTAACAATATGTCAACTGAAAAACACAGGATGGGTTTCTCCATAAAGTCTAAGGCAGTAGCGATACCCCCTTTTCCTGAATGAATATTGTTCGTGCTGTAGATGAGATTCGGTGATCATAGAATAGGTGTTTTGGTGGAAGATAGTTCAAAATAGCTTGATTGTCGGAAGTGGGGTGATGTGTATTGGTGCTCCTGTAGACTTGCTAATCCCGCAAACTCTACAATGTGCCACACGTGCATAAATGCACATACATATAAATGTACTATATGTAATATTTGCTCTGTTTAGCCACCAAAAAAGTTGTCGAGATATTGAGTCGAGCTTGCAGAACGCTGCTGTAATTAGCATTTAATAATCTCAAGAGTAATTTGTTAAATGAGAGTTGGCAGTTATTTGGCATGCAGTACGTTAATAGCATCCTGCCTTGTTATTGTTATCCTAGTAATTATTAATATCTGACAAATGTATGATTAAATACAAAAATTTGTATGGAAATTATGGTATACAAACCAAAAACTTTATGCATCATTTTAATTTTGCAACAAAATGATTTCTCTTTGCTTTAAACTTGAATAATAAATAAGAACTGTTTTTTTATTTCGTTCATGTTGTTGAAAGTTGAAATGCTGGTTTTTTATGATAATCTTGGATTGAATCTCATTAATGTTTTCAGACCCAAAGTGTTCAATGAGCCTGTGATATTTCTCGGTGCAGATGTAACTCATCCACCTGCTGGAGATAACAAGAAGCCTTCCATAGCAGCTGTAAGAAAGCTTGTCTTATTACCATTCCCTCAGATTGTTTTTGTGTGATTATTTATTCCGTGATTGTTTACAGATCTAATTAATTTTTGAAAATATCTTTTTTTTTTACATGGAATTTACGTGAAATAGAGTTTATAATACTACATGGTATAGGATTATCAAGAAGGGAGAAAGAATTCTCATGTTTTTTAATTAGAAATTTAACAAATTGAAGCTCATGCTACTAGATATCTTGTATGTGTTTAAGGTGCATAGAAAATTTAATTGTGTGTAAAATTAATTTTGAACTCAATAAACGTACAAAACTGACAGTAATATGGCTGGCTATGTGTAGCTAACCCACACATTGTATATATGTAATGATTCCGAATGTGTAGATGAAAACAGTGGAACTTTTAACAACTTTCGATATTACATTGATGACTGAGAAGACCGTAATGAGTGAGTGGAAAGCCTGATGGCACAATTTAGCACAACGTATCTTGAAAAATCACAATCCCCCCTCGTTTTTTTTTAAATTTCTTTTTTTTATTTTTTTACGTATATCAAACCATCCTTTTGCAGATAAGATGTTTCCTAATTATATTTGAATACAAGTTTCATTTTGAAGTACTTCATCTTAAGCAAGTAAGCAGCAGCATAGAAGAAAAGCATCTTGCCGGCAGGAGAGCTTATGTGAAAATGGGAAGAGTATCGTAGAACTTCAGAGGAAGAGGGGTGGGAGTTGGAAAAGTTTCAGTTCAGAATTTTAGTTTACAATTAATTTGATTGGACAAGAAGTAACTGCATTAAGTTACCTAAGATAGAAAAATCTGGAACCTGTAAGAAAAGATGAATTTAGGGTCATATTACCAAATTTAGAATGTTAATCTTGAGTTTGCCAATTATTTTTTTTAAACAGCTTTCATATTTTGTTATATCTAGCATATTCCCCCCTTCAAAAAAAAAAAAAAAAAAAAAAAAAGGGTTGGGTGACCAGGGTGGAAGAAAAAGCATTAGAGCAGCAAAATGTGAAAAGATATAATTGTGAAAATACAAAAAATATTAACTTTTAAACAAAAAATTATTGTCATAAAATTTTGACCAATATTTTGACTCTATTTGACATTTCATTGAAAGTCATAAAATTTTGAATTATTAATTTTAGCACTGTATTCTTTTAAAAAAATAACCTATTTTAGAGTTTTGAGGTAGGAATGTCCAATGAAATTTTGTAAAGTTCTTGATAGTTCCACACGGTAAAAGTTCAAATTTTTTCACAAAGTAAATGTTCAAATAAAAGTCTTTTCAATTTTTGTTGATGAAAATATTTCTGTTATATTACAGATTGAGATACCAACTTTCATGTTATTTGCTAGAATTTCCATAATTATTTTTTTTTTTTAGGGAAGGCATTTTTAAAATATAAAAATTTTGCATATATTATTCATAAGCACAACAAGTTTCAAACTTTTCACTATTATTAAGTTATTTAAAATTTTACTTATTCTTTACAAAACTTGAAAACTCCACAACTTTCTCTAAATACCAGCATATCCATCACATTAGTTTATCAGTTGAGCAAACTGGTGTTTATTCTTCACTAATGGCCGAAAGATTTGCCAATTAGCAGTTATTGTAGAAAAGACCTTCAATAGAGGCAACTGGCCATTTTCGAACTGCTGTCATTCCATTGTAAAAATTAAAAACACACTCTAGTTTATGAAAAAATAAAAATACTTAGATTTAATAAAAAAGTTATTTTTTCATAAGGTGAGAGCCTTCAATTAAAAAATTTCAAACAACAATTTCATTCTTAAAATATAGTAAAAATTAAAAAATATAAATTCAAAGAAATTTAAACAATACAGTCAAAAGTCTTTAATCCGGACTCGTCGGGACTTTGGCGATTCCGGATTATCGATTTTTCCGGATTATAGATCATCAGTTTAAATCTGGTAAGATGGCATGCAGAAATTATAAAATTAAAAATATAAAACCGTAATTTATAATATAATAATCAATTATGATCTAAAGGGTATCAAAATTTACAAAAAGCGAAGCTTAATATTTATTTGTTTACTTTATTAAACATTTCTTTCAACGCGCGCATGTGTAAAGCATACCTTACACATGGCCGAAATTAGAAATTGCAACCAGAAAACTATTTGATTTGTATTCGTGATATTTATAATGACGAGGAATTTGATTTAAATCATATCAAAGACGGAGTACATCGAGATTAAATACTACGTTTAGTAAGGAATTATAAGCCGAATAAAATAAAAACATCTGCCCTGAAGATAACGATAGTGCTGACAGATCAACTTCCAGTTCATTGCACGGCGATGTCCCCCCCCTTCCGGCGCAGAGCAGCGTGACATTGATAAACAGATTTCGGAACGGTTACATAAACAAAGGATATACCTTTATCCATTTTTTGTAGCAATTCGTTTTTTGTTTGATGGACATCGAAACATACTTTCGTTTTCTAGATCCTTTGAGTGCTCCAGCATTGGAAATTCTATTTGACATAATCGAAAGTTCAAGCTTACTTTTATAAAATTGCTCTTACAGTCTGCAAAAAATAATAAGCCTGATCCAATTCGAAGATTAAGGAACAACGCAATCATCAACATTAACTGAAATAGATAATTAGATAATTTTAGCTTATACCGTCCATTATACATTAAACGCGCACGCAAAAACGTATTCTGCGCTTGCGCAGACGCATATGCGCAGTCGTAAATGTCTTGCGCGTACGCGTAAAACGCCTATGAGCATGCGTCAATGCTGCGCATGCACAGAAAGATTTTTAGCTTTGAGGTCCAGATTATGGATCATTCCAGATTATGGGTGTCCGAACTAACGACTTTTGACTGTAGTACAAAAATATTATTCGCATTAGGAACCTTCCCTAAGTAAAACCTTTAAATTCTTTACCTAATTTTTACCAAATTCAATCATTTCTTTTTCCCAATTCAGAAAATACAAAACTGCGTTTTAAATAAATCCTAATATTTTTGAATTATTAACTTTGATTTTAAAATGATTTAAGCAAAACATTGCCTTCAATAAATCATAAAACAATGCAATTACTTATAAATGCAAAATTACTTATAATACAAAGTCATTGAAAAACGCAATTTACTCTGTTGGGAACTTCATACCACTTCAATATCACATTAATAACTTTTGATAATATTCCATTCTTTGACTAAGAGCAGTGAAAAACGCAAAATGTGCACAAAACACTATTTCACTCATGAGGTTACTGACCTCCAAAGCACTTTGGCTGTTTAATTTTCTTTTTACGTGATGATCGGAAATGCATAAACATTACGAATATTCAAAGCGGCGAGAACAACTAACCATATTTCGCTACATTGCGGCAGTGACCTTGATTTGAAACAGTTTCGATTTTGAACTTGCAGATACTCGATGATTTTCAAAGCACTTTTTGAATATGCCATTAAATCACACACTGGAAACAAATTTGATGATTCACTGGAAGTTTGAGGCAGCAGAGTTCGAAGACCATTGGGAAAACTTGCAGCATGTTAATCCTGTCTTGACTTTATATATATACCACATACATGTTTGTGTACATGTGGATTTAAAAGGTTTATATGTATACTAGCAGCTTCGCTGCCAGCCTTCATCTGGCTTTTTAAATGTACTGGAAAAATGGCTGAAGGGAACACCAAACGTTAAATTTAAAAACTGCGTAGAATTTTACTCTGCCGAACAACTTCATACAAAAAGAGTTATTACGTATAACAAAATTACCATGAAATAAGCAATATCCCTTAATACAAATATTAATTATCCTAATAAATAAAATTAACCAACTTCCCTTTGCAAAATCTTAAGAACTCAAATGGCATAAAGAAGGTTAAGAACTTTGTTTCCTAAAAAAAAATCACTCAAAACTTTTCAATATCTTAAAAACAGTGAAATGAGCAATAAATAACATAAAAGAATACAAAAAAAAAAAAAAAAAAAAAAAAAAAAAAAAAAAAAAAAATTCAGTCTTTTGAAAAAGTTCTAAGAAGTGCCTTTAATTGTTGTAGGGATGAAGGATTAATTGCTTCAACGTGTAAATTCTTGGTTTACAAGAGTGATATGGAATTTTTGAAGGATAGAGCATGTTATTGCCAGGTTTAAAATTTTTTTGGTCCTTAACTTCTGCAAATTAATGTGGCAGTGGAAGTATAGAAACAATACTTAGATTCTTTACTGCCCTTTTCGATTTAATGTGCTAAAGTTATTTGTGAATCATAGCTTGTCTATCAGGAAACAAACTAAAAGGTAAATTTTAAACTTAACTAAAAAGTAAATGTTTGTGGCATTTTTAATGACTGTATCATGCATTTCAAAATTTATTAATATGTTGCTTCTTAAAATTACTAGTGAACCATTTTTGGAAATTATTTTTGGTGGTGGCTCATTTTTTTGTGGTTTATTCTAAATTAATTGTTTACAGAATTGTGTTAAATAAAAATGCAGATTTATATTAAATTGCATCTGTATATGTATATCACATGAATTATGTATTATAGATATTATTACTTTCTGTACCTAAATAACTTTCTCACCAAGGCTACTGAGACTGACAAATACCAGAACATCATACGTATTTCATATTTCTTTTAGTGATTTGAGTTAATACTTTGAATTAATAATTATGTGGTAATAATTATTTAATTAAATGAGTTACGAATCTATAAGTGTGAAATAAAATCAAGGAATGTCTTTTTATGTTATTACCTAATTATTAATCTAACATTATAACTGCATAATTTTATATGCATTCATAACATTCTTAAGTAGCTCACCATACCACTGGTTTATATGTTTTGATTTTTAGAATGTATTAGTTGATATATAACTGGTATTTGGTAATATGTATTAACCTTAGTCATAGCAACTTTTATTTTAAATTATTTATAAAAAAGTTCATATTTATTTAAGTTCTCTAACTTAATATGCTGTGGATATTTAATTTTTTAGAACTAGAAGTTATTGCAATAATTAATGTATTGTTGATTGAAATAATTTATATTTCAAATCAGGTCGTTGGCAGCATGGATGGTCATCCTAGCAGGTATGCAGCTACAGTTAGGGTGCAGCAGCATAGACAAGAGATTATACAAGATCTGGCATCTATGGTTAAAGAACTATTAATACAGTTTTATAAATCTACCCGCTTTAAGCCATATAGGATAATATTTTACAGAGATGGTGTGTCTGAAGGACAGTTTCATCAGGTTAGAACTATTTTAGTATATATCAGTTTTATTTATAACCTGTCTGTCGCAGGAAATTTGTGTAAAATGCAGCTTCTCCAACTTATATCTACCCCCCAGTGGCATGCGGTAGGTTTTCATGCAGGGTGTGCATAGAACAACAATAATAATAATAAAACCATAAAAATGTACATTAAACACTCTTTAACTTTTTATTATTCATTTGTACACAAAATCCATGCGTCTATCCGCATTACTAACAAAGTCATCAATTATATGGTCATAAAACTGGTTTTGTCTGTAATAAGTGTAATATTTCTTTTTCTATTATTATTAGAGATAAATTGCTTAATCTATCCTGGCTTATTGTATTGCATACATAATTTTTTACTCTTTCCAATGCTGAAAATGATCTCTCCACCGAAGCAGTTGAAAATGGTTGTACAAATTAAATGTGCCAATTTATTTACTTCACTTAAGGCATCTGTCAAGTCATTCAGCATCACTATGATAAAGAATGCATAATTCATTGGTTAGCTTTACAAAATCGAAATGTTTTGCATAAGTGTTCTTTAAGGAATTCATCCGGAAATTTACTTTGATATTTCTTAAAAAACTGAAATTCAATAGTTCAAAAAATTTGAGCAAATTTAATTTTTTAAAACAGACATCTAACTGACAATAAATAGTGTCCATTACTTCATAATATAAATTTTTAAAATGTTGGTCTTGGTCTACACTTGAGTTTTGTAAATTTACACGAGGTTTTTTTAAATTTGGGGTACCCACTACAAAAATAGTCTCTTCATAAACTTCATCAAATACAACAGAAGTTCGCATATTTTGAATTGCATCTTTTACTTCCTCTACTTTTTGACTAGAATATGCTACAGAGGCTGTTCGCACATTTTTTAGACGATTTTGGTAAGCTTTAATAAAAAATCGTTTGCTGCAAAAGAAGTAATTGCAATTGTACTATGTTTTTAAAAGTCAAAATTATCGTCTGTGGCTTGAAAGTTTTGTTTTTATTCAAAATGGCGAATTTAACAAAGCAGTGGTTCGAAGGCTACATTTACGCTCTTTCCGAGAAATATGATACTTACTTCCGTTATCCAAAAACGTGAGAGTCATGGTTTTGTGATATTTAAAGCGTCGATAGGTAATATCATCAACCAGAAAGGAAAAAAACGTCAAATTGGAGCCTCAAGTGGGACAAAAATTCCAAACAAGTATCCAAGGAAAAAACGGACATCTTCGACTATTGCAAAGGTATGTTGTTTAATGTTAAAAGAAAATCCCCCTAGTCAAAGGAAAGTTGCAAAATCATTAAAATGCTCGGTGTCCACTGTAAACAAAATGATAAACGTTGATTTAAATCTTAAGAAAGCGAAAAAACGCAATGTGCATAGTCTTCTTCCAAAGCATATCGCTCAACGCAGGACACGCTGCAGAATTCTATATGAGACACTTATCCAAAGAAAAATGGGAAACAATTGTCACAATAGATGAAGCATGGGTGTATTTAAATGATTGTACCAAAAAAAAAAAAAAAAGAGAGCCATTTATTATCATAAAAGGGGAGGAAAAAATTCAAGTACATGGTTCAAAGAATCGAAAGAAAGTTTTTCTAGGGGATTCATGATTGTTGCTGGTTTTTCTTGTAATGGCAAGTAAAAAATAAAGAGAGTGCAAAAAAAAATGTCAAGATTAACTCGAAATACTATCAGGAACATTTTATCGCCAATTTTTCCGAATGAAATACCATTGCTTTACCCACAGTGCCATCAATCTGTGAGACTCCAACAGGGCTAGCAGTCACACATCAAAATCCACTGTAAATTTCCTAAAAGAAATGGAACAAAAAACTGGTATCAAGGCCATACCCTTCACTGATATCCCTACTAAATCTCCCGATGCGTCACCTATGGATTTTTGTGCTTTCAGACTTTTAAAAACTGCATTATCGAAATGTTGTCCCAAAACCCTAACAGGACTCTAGAAAGCTGTTCGGGAGGAATGGGATAGAATAGCTCTTCTGCCACTTCAAAAGGCATTATTATCCTGGAAATTGCGGTGTCGAAAGATAGTTCAGAATAAGGGATGTCAAATAGAACATTTAGAACACAAGAATTTTATGTAATTTAGTTTTGTGAATACAATATACATCGTCTAAAAAATGTGTGAACAGCCTATGTATATCTAAGTTAGTTTTTTGTAAAATATCAAATAGAACATCAGTATAACTAAACACTTTGGCAAAAATATTTAGTAGAAAATTACCATTAAATTCTTCAAAAAAATGTGATAACTCTTTGCACTATTAATTGTATCATTATCCCAGCCTTCTGGATTCTCAATAATATTTTCAGATAAATCAAATAGGCCTTGCCTTTCACTTTTTATGCTATTTACCAAACGAGATGAATAGTTCCAACGTGTTATAGCTAATTTTGGAAATTTTCTTTTAACATGATTCCTTTTTGTAGACACTGAAAAAAATGAGGCTATGCCAGAAATTGTTGCAAAAAATAATTTACAATCTTTTATAAACAATACAGATTGCGACAGAACTAAATTAAGTACATGTGTGCAACAATGCACAAACATAGCTTCTGGGAAAATGTCTTACTTTTTTCTGCGTCCCATTCAACGCTCCTGCCATCACTGCCGCCCCATCGTACGTTTGAGCAATCAGTTTATTCTCACACCCCCAACTGAAAATCGTTTCTTGCCAACATTACATAAAGCTTCCGCTGAACGATCATCCACTAACATCTTTAAAAAACAAAAATCTTTCCACTGGTGCACTACAATTATTAACTTCATCGACACAATCAAGTTATTAATATATCGTACAACCGATAATTGCGGATTTGTGAGATATGTCAGGATGTTTCATCCAGCATAATAGCAACGAATGGCGTTTCTTTTACCTCATTTCTAATTTCTGAAATTACAATATTTTTTTATCGATGCGATAATATCATTTTGTATTCTATTAGAGGTTCCAGAAAATACAGTTGGCAGTTCTTAGATGGGTTGCTGAAAGGTCATCATATTTACTAATTAAAGTTATTAATTCTATATAATTTCCTCGATTAAGGGAATTTATATTCTCATTGTGTCCACGAAATGCATCTTGTTTTGCTAAGTAGCAAACTACATCTATTAATCTCTTGAGAATGTTTCTATTTCTTGTTACTTTTTCATTGTGTTGAACAATTGATGAAACCTTTTGTTGATCTAACATTAAATCTATCCTGGCGGTACCAAATGTTTTTAATAGTATTACGCCATTTATGTGAGATTGTGTTTTTTCATGTTTCTTTGCATCTTCGTGGAGATGATTTAAATCACTGTACCCTTGTTTTGTCCAAATATTCTTGTCCTTTTCAATTATCATGGCCAACAGTACAACTTATTCAATTCACTACAACCAGTTAACCATTTAAATTTTTCATACATAGATTTTTGAAAATGTCATACACACTGTTGTCCTTTAATCTTAACATTTTGTGATAGAATAATCAGCCATGAAAGTGCAAGTTGGCAAAAAAGCTGAACAACGCGTGGACACAAAATTACATAAAAAAATGAGCACGTGCGCAACCTAAAAAAAAAAAAAAACCACATTTTAATAAAATACCAACCTTTAATTTATAAAAATATAAAAAGTATAATTAAACTAAAATAATACTTGTACTTACTATTTTGCTATTAATTTTATCTTCCACTTGTAAAAAAAAAAAAAAAATTAAATCACCAAGAGATTGTATGTAATGAGTTAACCTTCTTTAAGATGCTCTTTATGTAACTTAATTTAACAGTTGATACATGAATACTGTACACAACATTACAACACACTAATATACATATTTATGTTATATATTACTGCCCATTTTCAGGCAATAAGTTTGAGATAAAAAAATATATATATATATAACTGTCACTATAGCTTTCAATTATCTTCACTTTTAGTTCAATAAACAGTATTTTATATAACACCAGAAAAAGTAGTCATGTGAGATAATATAATTACAAAATAGCATAAAGGAGGAATATAAAAAAAAATAACTATTTTGTCTCAGTCTCACTTGATCCTGATTAAAAATTTTTAGGGAAAAAGCTTTTTCTTTTCTGCTACTTTTGCAGCCAACTTTTCTAATTTCCGTTTGCGAGCTAGTCTCAATTTCTTTTCAGCAGCTTTTATACAATCCATTGATGCTTTTTTATTTTCTTCTTTACTTTCTGCAATGTTTAATTGCTTTTTTTTATAGATTCTCGCTCCTTAATGCTCATGATTTGGATTTAAGATATTCATACTGAAAAACTTACAGCAACAAACAAAAAAGAAATAACATAACGATCTACACTCAGAATTACAGTGTGCCACTTTACACACGCTAAAACTCTCACGTGCTCTGGATAACATCAGTAGGGTATCCATATGTCCGACAGATGGCGCCAGCACCAATCGCTGAAATTATTGAAGTCAGCTCTCATTTGACGGTGGCTTGCTCTTCTTTGATTTGATATTCGTATGCCTTTCCACGATGAGTTCCGCCTTTCCACATAAGCCCTACCTACTTCGCCTTGATATGAGATAATGCATTTCGCGATCTCTGTCATGATGTAAAGTTTTTTTTACAAAGAAAACAGGAAGAGAGAGAGCATGTTCTCCGTTTACCCTTCCCCCCCACATTTGCTGGTCGCGATTTCTCAACGGTTCTGCATCGATCTCAGAAACAGTTAAAAAAAGTGGAATTCCGCAAAAGGCGGGAAAGCTTTCATGCCTGGAATAATATCCAGCATCGGTCTTCTTAATTTAACTATTCTGTTTTTTGTAGCAATATCTTGTCTCGAAAATAGATTTTCCAATAAATCTTTAATTATTGAGACATCTGAGTTCTCCATTCTGAAATAGGTTATTTATTATGAATATAAATTTAAGGAATACAATAAATAAAATATTTACCTACGAGTAGTCGAGGTATAACTATAAAAACAGCTAAACTTACAAG